GAGATCCACTCAAATGCTTAACGTATTATGATCAGTATCATTTCTGTATTAGATTTCTCCTTTTTTTTCAATTCTGTATTTTTATCCCATATCTGTCCTTGCATTTGAAGTAGTGACAGCTGATGTCAAAAGTTTGGAAGGTTGGGTTCGAGCAGAAGCAGAAAAGTATGCAGCTGTAATTGAGAAGAGGCATCACTTGGAACTGGATGCTTTTGCAGAACAAATGAGACTGAAAGATGATAAGTTAGAAGCTTTTCGTTGGCGGCTGCTGAGCATGGAACTAGAATCGAAGCGGCTGCAGTCTCATGTCGAAGGACTGAACCAGGATGTGTCACAGCTCAGACAGGAAAATATGAAATTGGAAGCCTTGCTACTGGAGAGAGAAGAAGAATTGGATTCCTTGAAGGAGCAGTTTGCGTCACAATTAAAGCCTCTGAGTTGTCAGAAGACGAACCTATTAAATTTATCACTGCATGATCCAGCATTAACACATGATTCCTTTTGGCCCAAAGTCAAGTTTATCAAGAAAAAGTCAATTGAGAGGGAGCAAGAAACAAAAACAAGTTTGCTAGATAGGTCTCAAGAAAGACATCCCGAGAAAGAAGAGGTAAACCCATCTTACAACGACTCCAAAAACATCAGATTGATAGTCCAATCACCTGAAAAGGAGTTCGAAGAGGAGAGAGATATTTCCAACCCAGGTCCAACTCAAAAAGAAACTAATTGTTCAGTAGAAGTCGATTCTGCTGACAAGTCAGCATTACCTGTTCAGTCCCTGAGTAAAACCAAAAATACCCTCTGGAGGATGGATCTTCAAGCTCTTGGAGTTTCTTACAAAATCAAAAGGCTGAAGCAGCAACTTCTTATGGTTGAGAGATTAACAGGAAAGCAAGAAAGTGGAGAGGATATGGAAGGCGATAACAATGGGATGAAGGGCTTCCTGTCGTTGATATCTTTGCTAAATAAACAAGTCAGCCGCTACCTGTCCCTTCAAGGGAAGACTGATGATCTCTGTAAGCGGATGGTAAGCTCAGATTGATTTCTAATTTTGTGGATGTTGCTTTGGCTTTTACTGATCTCAATATCTTTCACTGGTGATCAGCAACTCTTTTTCTACGCAAATTTTTGAACATTTTCTTCTCTATATGTTGTTCATCACCAGGTTCAAACTAATTTCGAAAACGAAATCAAACTTCTTCATTTACTTTACAGTTTCACTGGCATGTATCAGTATTTTGCTAGTCAAATAGATTGCTATGTGCTTATCATCATCTTCAACAACAATTTTCAGCATGACAATGATATAGACTCGAGTCAAGGAGATTGCAGCACTAGAAAAATGAAAGGAGATAGTAAAACACTGGAGCATTTCCTGGAGGAGACATTCCAGCTGCAGAGATACATGGTTGCAACAGGTCAAAAGTTGATGGAAGTTCAATCCAAAATAGCCTCTGGGTTCATCGGGGTGGAGCTTGACAAGTCAGCCACCTTTGACATGAAGCGCTTCGCTGATAATATTAGATCTCTATTTCAGGAAGTTCAAAGAGGTCTTGAGGTTCGAATAGCTCGAATCATTGGAGATCTTGAAGGGACATTGGCTTGTGAGGGAATGACACATTTTAGAAGGTAGTAATGATATATATTATATGGGTGAAGCTCAAGATAAGAGTTCCATATTCTGCTGAATTCTGTATTCCAATTTTTGTATATACAAATTCCTTAATACAATTTACTAAAACATGAATGGCCTGAATTTTACGTTTTCTCTAAAATTGTCAATGGGTAGGGTACCTGTTAATTTTGAAGTATTCGAATCTGAATCTGAATCCAATTAAAAAATAGAGTACTTGAACCTTGATAATTATTAGAATATTTTTTAAATTTACTACTCTAACCTGAACCCTAATACATACTCACTATCCGATAATTATCCAAACTCGTTTAAAAACTCGATTATGTAAAAAAATTATTAACATACTCTTCATGGATACTCAATTATCTGGACTCGAATTCGTATCCGTATTTATATACAATAATATTTCGATTTATATTTCATATAATTTGTTAATAATTAAATTTATAAAAGCATATAAATAATAAATTTTAAATTTAAATAATCAAAAACAAATATCTCAAATATCAACTTAAATAATTAAAAATAAATATTTGAACAACAACTTAAACATTACAAGTTTAATTAACTATATGGGTTTGTCCATGAAATTAAATAAAAAACTATATTCTAAAATTATTATAATCTTATATTTTTTTTACTTATATATTATATAAGTTTATATGCACAAAAATATATATTATAAACAATAATATTATAAGTTATAGTTTCTTATAACGTTAACATAAAATAAAAAATAAACATAATTATATTTAAGGTATAGATACTAAAAGTATATATATAATAATAATTATATTTTTTATAAATTAACACAACATATAAAATATATGTATTAAAAGATATTACAAGTTACTTAATAATTATAGTTTTATGAATTAATTTAATTAATGATATGAGTTTATCTTTAATTATATAAAATCTGATATTGAGTACCCAAGAGGTGATACTCAAACTCGATTCGAATAGTAATTTTACTATAAGAACGAGATTATAAGATACCTTAATCCTACATAATCGAATCGAATACTGCAAATACTTTGTAATAGAGTATCCATTGACATCTTTAATTTTATCCATTTCAAATCATAAAAAAGATGTAACTATGAGGTAGTTATAGATAAAGAGAAGACTTAATACATAAAAAAATATTTTTTAATTATACATAATTATTCAAATAAGGTTTTAACTTTTATGGTGTTTAAATAAATTTTTTATTTTTTATTTTAAATAAAATAATTTTTTAAAATTAATAAAAATATAACTATATATAATTTTTAAAGAAAGTTGTCATTCTTTATCTGCATGATTTTCAATGTGATTTATTAACATGTCTCGATAATGGATGAGGTTGCCAAGTGACATGTGACGTGTTCTAATAGTGATAGTCAATCGCAATCACATAAAAAAAGGGTACTTCCTTATTCATGGAAATATAAAATTAAAGTTCGTTTAATTCAAAAATCCTTTATATACAAAAGCCTAAAAAGAAATCAATTAGTAAATTTATTTGTTAAACTAATTAGTAGCAACTATTTATTGCGAACATTTAATGAAAACAAAGTTCAAAAAAAAAAAGAAGAAGGGATTGATCCCACCATATCATCAATCATGCAGTCGACTATCAAAAGCCTTTACATGGAGGAATGAATGTCAGTGTCAGGTTAGAGTCTCAAACTCCCAATCTCCTTTCCTCCTTAGGCCGGCGATCTTGATGTTCCTCCACTTCAAAAATGGCCTAACTTTTTGGTGATTCCATTACTTTTACCAAACATGTGGGCGACGCATTTGCATCTCACCGAACCAAAACATCTAGAAAAGAAAGTGTTTCTTCTTTTACGTAACTGTGTTTTTATTTATTAAAGGAGTCTTAGCTTATATATTTTCTCATTGTTACATACAATATTTTATGAAGGAAGAAGCGATCACATGGGTCACGGAAACACATGGATTAAATTAGGCCCGCTAAACAGGTGATCAACCAATGTCTTGGGTTCAGTCCAAGCTTCACTAGGCCCAAAAGGATACACGAAAGCCCTGGACTGAATTGAACAATGCTAAAGTTAGCCCACCTTTGGATCAAACTACAAATAATGGGTCAAGGCTCTCTACTCCTCCACCAGAAAAAAGGTATAATGTCTCTTAATCAACACAGAATGTTGTACATGCTAGTACTTGTAATAAATGGCTGTACATTACTACACCGTACATGCCAATTGGTGAAGATATTGATTATCACTGATATTCATGTACCTACCAGCTTTATTCCAAAGAAACCATTAACTTCAAATGTAATATGCTTGCTATTGAGGGCATTAAGGACTTGGTCAAAGATGCTGATTCGCATTCTAGTCATTCAATGCTTTGGCGAAGGGCTTATTACGACTAAGCTAACCACTCGAAACTTCTACTATTATCATTTTATTAGATTAAAGGCTAAGGGGTTGATAGAGTCGGAAGATAAACCAAATGAAAAAAATAAAGAAGCAAGTGCTGAAACCCTGTCAAATTTCCAAGAAAGGAAATGCCTGTCCTCTTTCCATTGCTCTGGGAAAATATACCCTTATATCAAGGACGAAAAAAAATCTATCTACAAGGCAACTATAATGTTCTTTTCTCCATCCCCTAACAATATGTTCAGTTTCAAACATGTACCCTCCATTAAGATCAATGTCATTACGCTATTGATTGAACCGTTACGCAGTTAATAATTTGCCCAATAATTCCCATTTGCACTCAGAAAAGGGCAGACTGGATGGCTTTTTCACCAAGGTGGAATTTGTTCAAAGCATGTAATCAGCAGACTAGTTCAGATTCCACACTCTATATATGGAGACGGTTCCACGTGAAAAGAAACACTGCAGACTTGGGGGTTGAACAAAATTAGATCTGGCCTTTGTTGCTTACTTGGAAAATTGCCAATCACAAGCTTCAGTAAGAATCCAGACCTTATGTTGACATAAAATCAACTCATTTTATTTCCGCCATCAACTCACATTCAATGCCCTCAACCACTCAATGCTCGGGGCATTGGTGATTTTGGGTCTAAATTAACATTGATGGAGTCCAACTCAGTACACTTTATGCCCCGTATTCTACTTCCATCTTGGCCCGCACGAGCGGCTGGAGATGGAGAGTGAGGCAGAGGAGTGATATCTACATTAGCTAGCACCTCCTCGTTATTTATTTGAGGCCTACATTCAACCAATTTATGCTGATATGATTTGGATATAAGTAACAATCGGATTAAATTTATGGTCACCTGTAGAGAGGTATGGGTGAAACTGAAAGATTGGACCTCTCCAAAACGCATTGATTCTTTCGATTTGTGACTTTTCCTCAATGGGGACCCATACATTAGATGCCAGGCTCATACTACAAGGCAAATAAGATGTGACCCAAGTAGAGATCGCAGTATCTGTTTGAGCCTTTCAGAGAGTGGAGGAAGATCCTGATCGGGAAAGGCTTTGTGTGTCTCTGTCACGTTGAATATTTTCCTGCATTTCCGTGTGCTCCTCATTGCTGCATCATTATGGGGGGTCTTTAGCAATTAAGCAACATCCCTTGTGTAGTAAGATGGTGAACAGAGGCACTCATGCTTCATTTGACAAATGGAGAATTGCCCTGCAAACCAACGTGAAATATTGGCGAAAAAGTTGCTTGTGCCTTGGCAGGGACCGTGGTGCGGAAAAGAATTGCTGATAAATTTTGTTTTCTAACAAATTTCTCACAATTAAAAATAAATAAAAAAGTTAAAATAAAAAAACAACATATTAATTTATTTTCATCATAAGCTTAGCTTTATAAAGACAATAATGGGTTACCATACGGTTATAAAGAAAATATCGTAAAACTAATAGGAATATGAAACGTGTGCTTTAAAACTGTATTCCTTTTTTGACCCAAACACAAACAATAAACGTGATCTTTTAAAGAGTCACACTTTTTTATAACATTAAAAACAATACTATATGATTTAATGAATCACTTGAGCCATTTACACGTGATTGTCTTCCTTCTTGCAACAAAGGATCACTTGGGGCTAACAACAATGAAAAAATATCTCAATGCACGGACAAAACTTATTTTCTGGCACACCTTTTTAACTTAAATTTTGTACAAACCTAGTTTTGATTTGAAAATGAAAAATTTATTTTTGCCTAATCCCTTGGTGAAGATATTTGCAACTTGTTCATTTGTGTTGCAATATTTCACATTGATTTCTTCACTCTTTACAGCATCTTTTATCAGATAATATCTAACTTTGATATGCTTGGTACAACCATGTTGTATTGGGTTCTTGACAGTGATTATTGCGGATTGGTTGTCATGTTAAATTGTTGTCCCACAAACCTGTTTAAAATTCAAGTCATTTAGAATTTCTTTTAGCCAAAGTGCATGCTTGACAGCTAAGGTAACAACCATGTATATATTCAGTTTAAATAGAAAATTGAGCCATTATCAAGTGAGAAACAAAAATCTGTAATGCTTTTGACATCATATGAACAACCAACACAATTATTATCACAAAATCTCATAAGTTTTCCACTTGAATTTATATTTTACCGTTCCTTTAACATATCATAAGACTCGTTTTACTGTTATCATCTAAGTTTTAGATGATGAGGTTGAAGAGATAAAAAAAAACGGTAAACAAGAAAAAGAGCGGTGGAGAGACAGAAAAGTAAAATATTTTATTTGTTATTTAATTAATTATTATAAACGTTTTAAGGGTTTAAGGGTTTCAGTGGTTTAGCTTTGCAGGTTGTTTTCGTGTGCCTGCAAATGTGGATTTGATGAGGTTTGGTGGCTGCTTAACCTCCTGCTTTTGTAAAGTTGTAAATGGAATGAATGTTTTTCTGTTTATTAAAAAAAAATCCTATAATTTACCAATATTTAACTTATTTTTATATATAATAAAATTTTAAAATAATTATTAGTTTAGAAGTAATTCAAAACTAGAGCCAAAACACAATCTTTATATGGTTTATCCTTTAATCAAAAGTGAGTGGATAAGTGCCTAAAGCCATGAACCACCTTAAAAGTTGATTATAAATTTTGGATCACGTAAACCACCTACAAGTCACGAGATCACTTTAAAATCAATCCAAACGCATTGATTCAGAATGGTTTATGAGTGATCTTTGGACGTGGATCATTACTTACCATAAGATCTAGGCATTGAAAACGCCAAATACGAGAGTTGCTTGATTGATTTGGCCGTCAGAAGCCTCATATCAGTGTTTTAGTAGTCAATTTGAGTCGCTTGCATACCATCAATTCTTGTCGTCAAAAATGCAAAATATATATATAAGAAAATAATAAAATAGGAAAATAATATTGTTAAAAGAAAAAATAAATGAAATAACAGTACAAAATAATAATTATTCTTTATCCATTTCTTAATTATCATTTCACCAATCAATTATTAGAAATAATATTTCTCTTCTATTTCATTCTATAAACTAAATTATATAATAATAATAATAATAATTTTTTTTCTGTTTTATTTTTACATAATAACTCTTTCATTCTCTTTATTTTATTTGGTGAACCAAAACTCTTTGTTACAGAAGATGTGACATCCATTGGACCCTAAAACTCTGCAGACTCAATCCACGTAGCTTTATGCTGTTGTTTTTTCTACGTAAGTTAAGGATAAAACGCGGACGTATAGGAATAAAGTATTCAAACATTAAAGCATTTTACTGAAAAGTAAAGAGACACGACGGTTATTCACCAATCTGACCTACTTATTTTAGTCAGATTATTGAAACTGATCCTAGTAATTAAGCTCATCACTCGTTTAATGTAATTCCGTTCCACCAGGAACGGCGTGTTCTTTTTTTTTTGGTTACGTGAACAAAATCCAGAGCCTTGTAGCTTGAAACTGTTGTTTGGTAAGCTGAGCCTAGAAAAATTTATGCTCTGACGCAGTAAAGTCGCTATCATATCAACTATAAGCCTTAACTCCTCCTCTGATCATCTCTTTCTTTGCGTAGGAAAATTAGTTTAGAATTTTCAAGATATCCGGCTTTTCTTGTAAAGCTTTTGACTCGGACACATTGGGATCGACCAGTCTTTTTGGGTAGATATAGTTAGTAGTTGTAGATACGTATGCAGTGTCGGTCCTTCTCCTGTTGCGGTAATTTCATAAAAATCTCTTGTTAAGTGGAAATTAGAGGATTTCTAGAACAGTCAATTTCATTCGATACCAACAATATAGGAAATATTAAATATAATGTGCTGTACTAGTTGTATTTTTCTACATAATTAAAACTTGATTACTACTATAGTACTCGCCGGCTTGATTTTCATAATTAAACAAATGATTTGATTAATTATTCTGGGGCCTTTTCGGACCTTTTGGATGTTGTACTTAACTTGACCTGTCCAGGCTCAAACCTAACAGCTAGGTGACTTTTCAAACGATCGATCTTATATCTTAATCTAATCGGGACTGTTGATTGTCACTTTTAACCAATCAAAACTAGAAGGTTTCTCCGTACGTGGGACCCTCTTCGAGCCAAGGGCATTTCGTGAAGTATATTTTTTCAACGTACAAGCCAAACGGGTAAGAAAAACCTGGGCATTTTCTCGTGAATAAGAAGCGCCAGGAGCGTTGCCGTTGTTGCTGTGATCCTTGCAGTTCACATTCATCGCCACCCTCTTTTCCCCACTCTTTTTCTCTATGAACTTTGAAACCCATTTTCTAACTCTATAAATACTGAAAAGCCCCGCAGGAAACAGAACTGGATATTTTATAGTGTGAGAATAAAACGTTTGCATGATCAGGTTTCTAGGGTTAGTGAAAAATGAGGTCAGGGGAAGAGTCTGAAACACCTTCTACACCAAAGCTTTCTCTATATTCATTTCCGAGTAAGGCAAAAGAGCCATCAGGGATGCAAACATCGCCGATCCACACCTCAGTTTCGATTCCGTTCCAGTGGGAGGAAGCGCCAGGGAAGCCTAGGCCCTGTCCCAGCACTGATACTACCAGTACTCAATCAAAGCCCAAAAGTGCAAGGTGCTTGGAACTGCCTCCGAGGTTGTTAGCTGAGGCTAAGGTTGCCAACATGCCATCTCCAACAACGGTCTTGGACGGACCTGACGCGGGTCGGTTTGTGTCTTACACGTTGTCGTTTAGAAAAGGAGGGTCTTTTAGGATACCGGACAACAACAAGAGGGTGAATAAGGACAAGGTTATCTTTGGATCGAGTAGGTGGGGGAGCTTTAGAAAGGCTGGACGAATTGTTCAGGGAAGTTTTGACTTTTCATCCACTCCCGTTGTTGATGGTGGTGGCGGCGGCAGCAGCGGTGGCGGTACACAGGTGAACATCACAAGGGTTAGGAGGAAAGGGAGCTTATTAAGTCTTTCTCAAGCCCGGTCACATGTATTGGTAAGTACTAAAACCAGCTTTTCATTGATGATCTGTTCTCCTATTAGTTGCTATCTCTTTACCTTCTTTTTTTTTTTAATTATCCACGTAATGTTAGGCATAAAAGATACAATAATATCTGAGATCAGGTATTGTCTTTACATATTTACAGTTCTCAGACTTCCATCTGATACTTTTAGATAATCTCTATATCTCTTGCTGATGAAATGGTTTTTCTGTTCTCTACTTACTTGTATATATCAGAACTGCACTTCCCGTTTTAGTTTCTTTCCTGGAAGTAGTTTTGCTAACCTTTACTCTTTTACTTCTGAATTGAAGCACCAAATTATATGACTTAGGAGAGGTGCTCATATCTATGAGACTGATCTACGATTTCTTATCTGCATTACCAAAAAAGGGGGCAAAATCCTTTGGTATATTGTAAGGCTAGTACAATTAGACTGCATATCGGATAGTTCTAGACAGGTGAACTGAGCAATTGCTCTTCATATTCACATTCTATTACTACCATTATCTACCAAATTAATGAGCATTTAGTTTCGGTGCCAGCATTCCAGAAGTGATTCAACCGCAATGTGAAAGGAATGGGCAAAAGAAAGTATTAATCCCTTATGTGTAGAAATTGATATATCTCCCCTGACTTTTCAAATGTGCTCTCTTTCCCCTGCCTTTACATTTTTCTGCTACTTGATGATTCGCTAATCATTCAACATATATATATATATATATATATATATATATATATTACATAACTGCAGGCAAGCATTTATGAGAGCTTTAAGCAAGTGGTCCCATGGAGACGCGGGCAGGAGAAAATAAAGAAAAAGGCGTCGTGAATGCATTGCCACCGACTGATGTGTGACATCAGTTACAAATTTTGTATAGGAAAAAAAAATGAAAATTTCAAGTTATTTCGTTCGTCTCTTATTATGTAATAAGGAATACTTAGAGCCCTAAGCTTCACAATATGTGATGGATCTGATGGTTTACTTGGCATAAACCATTGGGCAGTTAGGTTTCATTTGTTCTTCATAAATGAGATAGAAATTTAATCTCAACCATCTGATCATATAATGTTGATCAAGCCGGTCTGGTACAGAACCACTGTGGACAAAGTAGATCTCTAATGTTTTTGATGTATATAGTATAGATATACTTCTGAGATTAATTCTACCATGTATACTTATCTAGAAACTTTGATTTGGTCAATTGGCATTTCTGATCATAAATTTCTACAAATGGTTATAATTCAAACCTATACCGATCAGGGGCAGCTGTGGTGACTATACTATATATGACAGAAAGTAAACACTAAACAAAATAGCATTGCGGTCAATAATAAGCTGCTAGGGACCTTCTTTTCTTGTAATTAGCTTTGAAACAAGCCTGCCTCAGCTTCTTTGTTCTCTCAGTCAATTCCATGTCTGGCAGTTTTTCAAGCAACCTCCTGTGTTCCTCCAACATCATTATCTCCTTAGTCAATCCAAGCTCCTAATATAAAAGTAAAAGACGAATAAGTTCTTGACTTGTAGAGTGGAATACCCATTGTTCTTGTCCAAACAAAATGAAATATAACAAGCATGCCTGCATATATTTACATATATATATCTATATCTATATATATACACACACACACAATAATTGTATAGAATAAGTCTTCAGGCTAAGTGATAGACTTTGGTGAAAGCTCACGCATATGGGCAAAGATGAGTGGTGTCAATAACGGCGAATTAACACCACAAACAGTTTCAGGGGTTCCAATTAATTACCGTTTGTTTAATGAGTGTCTACATCCTCACGTCGTGTTCTAGAATGTAATGTAACCCTTCTTTTTTTTTTTTTAGAGGAAAGTGAATATGATATAACTACTATACCCTTTTTGCGCCTAAGCTAATGTAATATACTAAAATTTAAAGCTTCTTTTGCAATTTTATTTCATGGTGGATGCAGGTAGAACTACATGCAGGCTGTAGCCTACTTAGCCTACTTAGCCTACTTTCATACCATTCTATCTTGAGTGAATTTGTTCATGAATAATGAAGAACACAACTTTGAATTAACCAAAGGTTTCATAATTACCAACTACTTCTTTATCTCAAGCATATATTGGTTCCACTCATCACTCATGGTACATAGTTTATCCGATTCAAGTGAAATGTGTGTACACTAATTTAGAACCAGAATTTGACTGTAACATATGCATGCATGTATATACCTTGACATTGTTAATGAGGGCCGTCAAGCTCTTGATCTTCCTATGAGGCCATCTCATGATGTTAAGTTCCCTGCACCTCTTCTTCAACACAGTCAGCCCCACGTTCATCTCTTTAGCTGCTCTCGATATCGGGAAATCGAAATACTTCTGAATCTCATCTAATTCCAATGGGGCAGTCCTCTTTCTTCCACTAAGTCTCCTTTGCTGACCATATCCGCTTGAAGCCCCATAATCACTTTGGATCACAGTCACTGTTTCACTTGAACCACCCATATTAGTAATATTGCCGCAATATTGCCCCAACGGACCAACCATTGTCTTTAGTGGCTTTGCGTCAACCAGGATATCTTCATGCAGTGATGGCAGAGTACTGGTGTTCTCAAACAAGGCAAAGTCACCGCTTATATCTTCGAAATCCTTGAACTCAAGATAATCGGTTCGGCTAGGCAGTGCGAGTGAATTGAAGTTATAATCATTGAAGTCGTAAAAGCCGTCCATTTCAAAAGGCGGCAATTCTAAAGCCCTGCATAAAGAAAAAGACCCATTAAAGAATTGAAATCTGTAAGTCAAAAGAAAATAGTAAAGTAACATAGAACACTAAGCATATCTTACGTTCCGAATGGGTTTTCTTCAAAGTTGAACCAGTCAAAATCAGGTGCATTCACCAACTTTGGAAAATTAAGATTCGTAGAATCCATTGAGAGATAAGGAGAGAGAGACGACGGGGTTAGAGAGTGTGGTGGGAAAAAGGGTGTCTATATATATAAACAGGAGGGGGATGCATTATTGAAGTTTGTGCACACGTCTAATAAGTTACACAATTTTCATGGAATGCACTAAATATGATCATTAATTAGTGAACAATTACCAATCACTAATAGGGGCGCTGCATCATGATGATGATCATCATCACTTATATCTCTTTATTGTCCTTTTTCAAAGATTATATCTCTTGGATTTTACACCTTGAAATTTCAAGCCATAACCTGTCATCATTTATCTTCATTTATTGTCCTTTTCCAAAGATTATATCTATTTGATTTTACACCTGCCGAGTTCAAGCCAGAACCTTTTTTTTATCTTTGTGTTTGCAGTCATGCTTAACAAACCCTGCAAACTTGGAATCTATGTGTAGGTCCTATATGAAAGGAAGTATGCCCTAGAGAAATAAGAAATGAACAACTCTTGCATGAAAGGTGTTTTTCTTTAATTTAGAAAATGTTTCTGAAGGATTTTTTTTTTTGGGGGTTTTTTCCTAAGGAAAGGGAGTGAAAAGAAGAATTAAATGAGAGGAGGTTATAGAACGATTAACGAGGTTGAGGTGATTAAATTCAATTAAAAATGGGCATAAGTGAGATAGTTACTAATTTAATGAGTTTACACCCCATCATCTTTATCTTCATCATTTTATAATTTTTAAAAGTCAACGTTATTGAGATACTGATTCGGGTTTGGCTGTTTCCATGGGGTTAATAATTGCTTATAACTCTTAAACCGGATATTATCAATTTAATATTTGATGTAATATATATTTGAAAAAAATCGAATAAACCCTTATACTTTTATTACGTTTAATCAAGTTTTTATATTTTTATTTTGAATCAAATAAGTTTTTATTTTTATATCAAATAAACTCTTAAGATTAATTATTAATTTAGTGCAAATGTCATTTATTATTTTATAGATGTTGACATATATCATAATTGATGATGATATAACATGTTGATATGTTATAAGTGATGATGATATGACATGTTAATTTGATATGATAATATAACAGTTTTCACTATCTACATCCATACCATATAAATATAAAATGAGAAGTGTCATTTTTACTAATGTTAATTAGTTAATTATTAATCTTAAGGACTTATTTAATCCAAAATAAAAATATAAAAAATTTAATTAAATATATTACAAAAATAAAAATTTATTTAAATATTTTAAATAATTTAAAAACTTATTTGAGTATTATGCTTTAATATTTTTAGGGGTATATTACTATGTTACTCTTCGCTTACCTTTCCATTTTTTTGGGGTGCATTTTGCAATTTAAATCTTTGTCTTCCATTGCTATGGGCCAAATATCGGTAAGGCCCTGATGAAATTGGGGTTTATCTTGCAAAGCCTTATATTTGAAATTCACCGGACTCCGACCACTAGCAACGAAGGAGCCCAAGAAAATTGGGTCCGAGCCCCACTGGATTCTTGTGCAGCCCAATGAATATGTACACCAACCGAACATTTGCTTCCACAAAGAACGTAACAAAGGAAAGGAGAAGCAACGATGCACAAAAGAAAAGAAAAGGATCAATCATTCCAGGCCTTAGTGGGACCTATCCCAAGTTCCCACCAATCACGGCATGGATTACTCCACAGAATGCAAACTGGATTAAACTAATACCACCATCACCAATCACGAATTCAAAAGTAGAAAGTCCAATTCCACGTCCAGGGAAAGAAAATTCTTTATATAATAATAAACATAATCAAAGGAGGCTCCACTACATGTTCATATTATGATATGCATATATTTTGGTATGAAAAATATCACTTCTTTTTCACTTTTTTCCTACCCAATCTAATCTGCCTATATAAAGTGCAGGTGGGTGAAGACAGAGAAGTAAGTATTGGCAATGTCTTGGGGAGCTCGGTCGTTCACATATGCACGACCAAACCATTAAGTGTCTCTGAGTCCACGTCTTTCATTTATTTTATCTTATTATATATAGTATTTCTTTATTGGACATAACATTCTCACTCAGACAAACGGATAAATAAATGTCTCTTAATTTCAAGGTACAACTCTTAATCCTCATTCCTCGCTGCTATTAAGCAGAGAATGGCATGTACGTAAAAGAAGCGTTTGTCATATGAATTCGTACTGCTAAAACTATATTCAGAGGTTCTTAGAGGTTTGTTCCTTTGCATTTATACTTGTAGGATGTAGAACAAGAGGGAAGGGAATCATTACTCGCTGGAGTTTACAATAGGCTAAGGTTCAAGCATGGAATCTGTTTCGGGATTGATTGAAGAAAGCAGCAGAGTACCATCCTCGCGTGCCTTCTAAGGACATGGTTTGTGCCCTACTGGGAGATGCAATTAGTGCCCACCTTGCCCCCCCATGGTGGCCAGTCCACCAAAACGTGCTTGGGGTTAGGACTTAGTAGCCTTGCAACAGCAGTTTGTTTACTTTAAAATGGGAATGGTTGATATGTTCAATCACGGCTGTGGAAATTAAACCATCAGTCCCCCCGCAACAGGTGGGGAAAAGAGAGATATGGGGTCACCCAACCAATGGGGAAACAGATACAAACCATCATATAGGAGTGCAGCAGCACTTCTGCTATAATGGGAAGTCAACGATCTTAGGTATTTGATATGCACCAAAGAATTTTTCAACTAAAAAAGTCCAAACATATTTCTTAAAATCACAGTTGAATTCAAAAAGTTAAAGCATCAAATCATGGATAATCATTATATATAATTCTTTTACTTTAGTGATTTCCGAGATTTGAGAACATATATAACACCTGCTCCCATGGAAGCTGCAAACTTTTCCTTTCACTTTGGTTTATGTAAATGGAAGCACCCTTCAAATCAAACATTAGTGGACAAACCTGAGCATTAAAAAAATGTCAAAACAGGGACTTAACGGAGGAATTTGGTCAGTAATTATTTATGTCAGATAGGGACCTGTAGAAAACAAATGCACAAGTTTCCTAATCCAACGGTTAAGCTGGATCTGCCAAAGTTCTCCAAAAGTCCAAGCATAACAAAATACAAAAGCCCTCCCCATGAAAAGAGGATTAAGATTTTTGATTAAAGAAGTGATGAGACCTTGTTGTTGGGTCATGTAATTATGGTTCAGAATGGGACCATCAGACCAGATAAAAAGAAAACAATACACTACTACTGCAGAGAAAGTTGGTCCCACTGGAATGGAAAATAATGAGAAACTGGGGTTGCACTATTCCGGGTTTTGCTTTCAAAAGGAGCTGGCTTTTGCTCTTCAAAATCAAATACACAAGACGTGCTAACCTTGGTGCCTGTCGCTTTTCGGTTGTGTTCTTGAAACAACAATATCCCCGCTCTTTCTCTCTCCTTTCCTTTTGGACTACTGCAAGTTCTTGCCTTTTATGCAGCTCCCAAGCTGCAGACGCCTATTGATGTTGTCGTTTTCTAACGTTGTCAAAAATTTTTACACCGAACTGTATCAGTCCCCGTCCATCATTTAGGCCTGTTTATGTCCCATTAGGCTTTGTTTAACTTCTGGTGATTTTAAAGGTTACATGGGAGGTGAGTCTCGGCTTATAAGTTCAGCTGCCCAACAAGTGGAAAGAAAAGGACAAGCTTGTATCAGAGGAGGTTAGTCTCTTCAATTTTACTCATTACCCAGTTTCTATTTTGGTAGCTTCATGTTTCTCAACATTTAAAAACATGAAATTGACAAGAAAGGGAGAAGGCAACACAATAAGGCGAAAGCCTTTTTTGCCCAGCTGAGCCTGATATAGAGCTATTCGGCTTAGTTGAACTGAAATGACCTCTTCACCTTCTAAGAACTAGCTCAACATACACTGATTCACATAAGAATTTCCTTTTCTGTTCTTTCGTTGTCTCAGCAAATAAAGAGAGGGTACGGAAAATTTCCAGCTTTTGGGTTTTTACAAATGCTAATTACAGTTAGAGTATTGCTGAAGATTCAGACAAAATGAGCTTTTTTCCAGTAGTAGGAACTGTATCTAATTCCAGTATTTTAGTTGATTATCTGTCGATTTGTTTTTGCTTTCTGGGTAGTGGCAGAAGTGCAGCAACTGGTAACGTGCTGTCTGGCTTTTATTATTTGTTTTTATATTGCTTAAACTTGGTTAGAGCTTTGGTAATGTTGGGTTGGAATAATTGCCTTTTGTAACTTAGTTTGAAGTGTTTCAGTCTGTCTACAAGTTTCATGCTGGCTGTTGTCATATTGTTAATGATTCTTTGTGGTTCTTATTTTAAAATTCTCGAGATTCAAATGAGTTTTTCATTTTGACTCTCTCTCTCTCTCTCTCTCTTCCTGACGCAAAGACAAGCATCTGTTGCCATTGATTCTTTTAAGGGTCTTCAGTTTAAAATGCTTAGGGATATAATATATGTGATTCATAGTTTGGTTTGTCATATGTTAGATGGGCTACTTTTCTTGCTCTTCCTTTTTCCCCTTTGCTTGAAACATTTTTTTTTTTGAAAGGTCTTGAAACATAATTTGGTTAGTTTGATTGTTGCAGATTAACGCATACTCGGTACGGGTTTAATGGCTACAGCTGCTGCAATGCCCATGTCTCGGGAAGCATCCAATTATGATGAGGTTTCCATGCACCAGAGTTTGTTGTTCGCTGATAGTCTCAAGGTACCACAGTGCTTGTATTTTCTCTATCAGTTTAGCCCTTGGGTTTGCAAGATAGACTCTAAGTGGTTCTGAGGATTTAGGATCTCCCTTAAAGCTTAAAATCCTTTTTTTTTTCTTTTCTTCTATATCCTGGTCAAAATTTAGCACTTTTGGAATGTATGCTTTATCATTTTGAAGGCTCAGCACCTTTTCTAGTAGGCTAATTACTAGCATTTAAGCTTTATTTATCCTAGGAATAAACCTAATCAGGTTTGAAATTTTCTGGTGAAAAAGACAAAGTTGCAGGATTTGGAACCAAATCCCTCTTCTTGCTCCTCTTCTGTACTACATGCTGAATTGTGGATAGGACTTACTTTACTAACTGAAGCAAAATCAATGCCTAATTTGGGTGAATTTGGTCTAAATACGTTAAGTGATGGATGTTTCTCAAGGTTGTTAAGTCCCCATTGATGCAAGTCAAGTGTGAATGTGCACCCTTTTGCCTCTTTATCCTGCTACATAATGCATTTAATTATCATAGTTTTCTTACATCTTGGCTTAATTTCTAGTGCAGTTGTCTTTCGACACTGGTTTTCTGACACAGTTTCTTTATTCCAGGATTTGAAAAATCTGAGAACACAGCTCTACTCAGCAGCTGAGTATTTTGAGCTGTCTTACACCAATGATGACCAAAAGCAGATGTGAGTTACTATGATTTCTCATTGTTCTTGCCTCCAATTGTTGGTATTGGAGTTTATTTACTTTCTTTTTCTCCTATTGTTGTTTAAGAAGAACAATCCTCATGCATATGCAGAGTGGTAGAAACATTGAAAGATTATGCCATCAAAGCTCTTGTAAACACAGTAGACCATTTGGGTTCTGTGACATACAAGGTTAATGATCTTTTGGATGAAAAGGTTGATGAGGTTTGTGGAACAGAGCTCCGGGTTTCCTGTATTGAACAGGTAAGGTCGGATTATTTTCAGTACTTAGTGAGATAACTATGAGACTACCTGTATATTTGTCGGTTTCTGTTGTGGATGCTTTATGTAGATATAAAAAAGGAAATGATACACAGATCTTTTTTATATTAAATGTTACAATTTTTGACAAGATTGGAATCATGAAAAAAGAAATTTTATATGGTCAGTATAATTCTTTCTTGCTGGTTGCTGTCTGAGTTTGCTCGAATATCTGATATATAAAGAAAGATCCCAGAAACAGGACCTCTTTCATATTTTACTTATAATTTTTTATAATTAAAAGCATGGAGAATTATGTATGGATGATTTCATTCTAGTCAAACACCCGCTGTTCCTATGCTTTAACATTTGATGGTTTACAAAGTACTGAAATTTTCTGTACTTTAATGTGCTATTATAGAGACTAAGGACATGCCAAGAGTATATTGATCATGAAGGAATTTCCCAACAGTCACTGGTGATTAATACACCAAAGTACCATAAACGGTACATCTTGCCAGGCAATTACCCATCTCTATTCCTTTTACTCATCATGTTTTTCCTATTTTTTAACAATTACAGAGATAAGGATATTTGGATGTTTACAAGTCTTTAATTAATTTTCAGTTGGGGAGACCATGCATGGTGCAAATCGTACAAAGTCCAAATACCTAGGATGCAGCCTAGATGATGAAGATGACTGGCATCAGCTTAGGAATGGTAGTTGCTCTGTCTTTCCTTTTGTATAATTCCTTATATGTTGGACGAGATTCTAATGTAACTTGACCCTACTTGTAATGACTCCTCTAAGCTGTTCGAGCTACGATTAGGGAAACCCCAACATCTTCGGTTGGGGAAACCCCGACATCTTCAGTCAGGTAAATGTTAACTTTATATTTCGTTTGCACTGCATTAGTAACCATAGTTACTTGACTGTGTAATTAGGAGCAATGATATCAATTATTCTGGTAATGGTTGTTGCAGAAAAGGGCGTTCTCCATCACCTTCTCCACGGCCTCCGGGCCCTCCACAGCGATCTGCAACCTTTTCCTTTACTGCCACCATGCCCAAGAAAGAACTAGGTTGGGATTCATATTTGACTTTATTATATTCTCTAAATGCAATTCTATGCTTCTTTTCCTTTTTCATCTTGTTACTTTAAGACCTTTTTCAGTTATGAATGCATGTATATACTAACTGATGATTTTTGCACTTACTATCAGAGAAGCGAACAGTATCGCCACATAGATTTCCACTTTTACGTTCTGGATCTGTTAGTAGGCCTACAACCCCAAATAAGAGCAGGCCGACTACTCCAAATTCAGCTGGTGCAAGGCGGCGGGTGAGCATACATTAGTTAATTCATATGCATTGTAGTTTGAGGAAACTGTATAACCATTAACTAAAATATGTCTATGGTTAACTCGAAGAATACCAACTAGTCTGTCAATGAAACACTGCTACACATCTTTAAAAGTATGTTAATGTCAAAGACTAATTCATACTGTGTTAACGATGCTTATGAGTTATAATTCATTCTTCTCTTTGTTCTTTTTCTAACTTTAATTTGCTTTTCATTGACAGTACCCATCAGAACCTCGGAAATCAGCTTCAATGCGTCTTCAATCTGAGAAAGACAACCCCAAAGAGATTGAACAGTATCCCAGTAAAAGTAAAAGACTCCTCAAAGCATTGCTTAGTCGTCGCAAATCAAAGAAAGATGAGATGCTATACACTTACTTGGATGAATACTGAGTAAAGAGAACCACAAGGCGGCTGATAGAGGGGCCAACAAAATGGCTAGTGATAGAGGCATACAAAAAAGGGGGTCAAGGTAGTGAGGAAAGACTCTGGACTTGCTCCACTTTTTTTCTTTTTCCAGTTTCCTTTGTCTGTAACCTTTTCTGCTTTGCTACTTTTCTTTGCTCTTTACCAAAATATTCCATGTTGTAAGATAATTGCCATTGTGTATTATCATTACCACTATGATTTTGCAGCCCACCAGCTATGTATACTTTTTCTCTAGTATTCCACAGTTGGCCTGCAATGATGTATTATCATTGTTGACATTGTATGCGACACTGATCGCAACCTTTTTGAAGTTGTATGAAAGGTTGAATCAATTTTTCCCATTTACAGATTGAACTTCCATCAAAATTTTCAGTGTGTCCTTTGTTTTAGCCTAGTTTAAAATAGCTCACAGGTAAAGTTAGCATCACCACCAGACTTTAAGTTCGTCCTGTCCCAGGTTACCAGCTTACCATTTTTTACCACAACTGCCAGTCAACCACTACCTCCAAAAAGTAGTAGGAGCTGCTGTCAACATTTGAGAAACGCTGCTGTCAACATTTGAGAAACAGGGCATCTTCTCTCCCATCTTCTTTAACTAGCCAAAAAAGTTATGAAACTCTGATGGGTTTTCCATCTGTCATTCAGTTGGAAGATCAAATTGAGTAATCGGAATAAAAAGTAGCTACTTTCATCCAAGTGAATCAAAGTTGGACATACCGAAATAAGTTCTCTTCATTCCCATTTCTAGTAACACAAAAGAAAGAGGTGGGGAAGAGAAGCATTGGGCATAGCCTTATCAAAGTTTCATATATAAAGTATTCTTTAAGCTGCAGTCAAACATTTAGCTTAGTGATTGATGCATGGTTCATCAAAGAAAAGGGTAAGATTCAAGTTCTTTTCAAATAAACAAAACAAGTATTCTTTAAGCTGATCAACATACATAGCAAGAACATAGAATGATAATGTCGTGTGGTAAAGGCTAAGGTTACATTCAAGTTAAAATGTCATCTATATCTCCAAAGATGAAGTACAAAAAAAGAAGGGAACAATAAAAATACATTAATGCACAATTGTTGCTAAAAATCCACATCATTTATGGAAAAATCACAACAATCATACATCACAATTCCATTCCTGGACCAAGTTCTTCAATTGTTTTTGCGGCAAGTGTGAGTACATCGACAAAAGCAGAAAATGATGCTCGGAGAAACCTTGCTTCGACTGCTTCAAAGTGCCTGATCATTACAAAGCGGGGTAAGGAAAAGGCATTAAAAGTAATAAAGCATTGAACTGTGAGTTATTTCTGAAAATGGATGAAATGATCAGCAAACAGAGAAGATGATCAACTTAGCTCGGCTAGATAATGGGTTGAATCAGTTTTTCCTGCTGAATTGCCAAAATCATCCCATTAAGATGTCCAATTAAAACCTAGGATCAATAATTTTGGTATTGGTTTTTGGGGAGGAAAGAGCAGAATATATTTTAGACGTCACTACATGATTGCTTGACTAACTGCCATCTGAAAACAGTTTTAGGCACTGAAGTTTCTTCTCCCCCTCATTTTGGATCCCATTTGTTGGATTATGCAAAAAGTGATAAGCTTTCCCATCTCTTCACACACCCACTCTAATGCCTACAACTCAATGTTAAGGTACCACTGCACCAAATAGTCATGATCTTGAATTTTAGAATTGTTGTGAAACTCTGGTAGTTCTGTTTATGGATTATAAGACTGAGGAAAAAACAGGGTGAAAAAAGGGAAAAAAATAAATAATTTTTCAAACATAATGGAAAAACATGGAACCTAAGGCCAAACTAAGCCTGTGTGAAATCATTAAAAAAGATACCAATCATGCAATTCCTATAACAGAGGAGTTTCAAAGTAATTGTTCAAACTAAAGAAGGTGGTTCCAACTAGTGGTTACACTGAAAGCTTCCCATCAGAGATTGACATTTGCCTCTTCACTTTGTCTGGTTGCAACTGCATTAGGAAATGGAATCAAATTAGAATCTGCTGACAACAACTTCTATAATAGTTATGCCAATAGAACAAAAAATGATTCAGTATAGTTGAAAGGTGAAACATTACCTCCTTATCAACAGCCAATGCAGCATAGACTATGGAAGCATTCTCTTCAGACTCAAAATCTACCTCCAAATCACTGCAGATAAGAGGGAAAAAAATGCATTTGCAGAGATATTACGAATGTCTCCCATGCTATCAAACAAAACCCAGTTCACTGAAAACCCGTAAAACAAGGAGGCAAAGCTAAAACTAAAAAATTTAACAAAGAAACCAGACACAACAAACAGAACCAAGAAACTTTAAGTAACCAAGGATGCCCATGGAAGTTTCAAAGAAGCAAAAGAAAGAAAGAGAAAAAATTACCAGCTGAATTCCCATTGGTTTGGGGTATCTGACAGGTCAGAGACAGCAGCCATGTGTGGTCTTCACTCTTCCCAACTGGAAGTACTGCGTTGCGCGCAAGAGAAATCTGCACTCAGCAGCAGAATCAATAGGGTTTATGGCTTACGCAAAGGAAGGAATAAAGCGGGCAGTTGATCCAGATCAATGAAAGCCCGTTTGTTGATCTTCAGCCCCAAAATTAGATTTTATGCCCAAGAGGTAGCCCACTTCTTTGTAAATAAATTTTTAGAGTAAAATGCATAGGATCAACTTTTACCTATAATTTTATACGAATCTATTAATTTTTAAATTGAATTCTTAATTTTATATATATAAACAGTATTATCATTTAAACATGAAATATCTAAAATATTTTTTTTCACTTTTCACTCTTTTTTTTCTCTCAAATCGACCAACTAATGACCTTTTTTGCTAGTCGACTACTAGCAAGATACATTTTTCTTTTAAAAAATTATAGTTTTGTAAATTTTAAATATTAATAAAAAATAAAATTATTCTTTTATTACTGTCACATCCTCAAATTAACAGAGTTAATTAATGGTTAGATTTATATGTAAAATAAAAATATTTTTTTAAAATGAAAATTAAAAAAAAATTAATAGACGTATATGAAATTATGATTAAAAATTTAAAAGATTTGTATATTTTACCTTAATTATTACAGTAAAATATTATTATTTTTTAAAATTTTAATCAAAATTACATGAAAATCTATTATTTTTCGAAATGAACACTCCGCATCAAAAATACAAACACTTTAAATAAAAAATTATGAAAAGATTAAAATATTTTTTTATTAATTTAAAAAATTATTATTATATATTTAAAAAAAGAAGGAAGAGTACCAAACAGTGCACCCAGATAAGAGTTTTTTTTTAATTAATAAAAAAAATAAAAATACATAATAATAATTATAAAAATTAACCAATAATAAAATTATCTTTTTTACTTTTATTACGTTAACAAATTAACGAAAATATTAATCGTAGATTAAAGACTGAACTTACGTATCTAACAAAAAAATTTTTGTAAACAAAACGTCAATTTAAAAAATTAATAAATTTTTATATAATTTTAATTAAAACTTAAAAAATAAAAATAATTTACTTAATTTTTACGTAGACCAACACTCCAAGCCCGACCTAGAAACTTAAAGTAGACGGGCCAAGACGCCAAGCTCTCTCGAGCATATTAGGATATTCCAGGGGTATATGGTATATTTTTTGGCATAATACTAGAATAAGTCTCTATTTCTCTCTCCCTCTCGGCCTCTCCTCCCCCATGTTGGGTTTTGAAGCAGGAAAGCTCGGCTGGCATCAGTATTTTAGCGACCTCAAACATACTTCCAGGCACGTTCTCTTTCCCTCTTATGTATTTCAAGTATGATCTTGTTGTTTCTTCAGTATTGTCGTCTTAAAACTGTTCCTCTCGGGAAATAGTAAACCAGTATTTCCTGTTGCATGGCAATTGGCATGTTTTTGTCGGTTTGAATGTGACCCCTTTCCTTCATTACGCTAATGAGCACAAGCTATCCGCTGGTCCATTAAGGTAAAGGGTGATGCGAATCTTATTAAGTACCCAAAGGCCACGAAGAAAAAATGGATCTATCATCCATGCATGAAAGGGTTCGTAGCTATTGTAAATGGTTTATTGGACTAAGATTTAGCTGGTTTGAATCAAGTTATAGATCACAATAAGCGTAGAAACCTGTGTTAGCAGTACCCAACAATCCGTTTTTCCTTTCCAGTTATTTAGCATTATAAAACACTACTTCAAGAGAAACAGATAAGTTTATCAATGGAAGCATGCATACTTGCCTGCAAGAGACACTCATTAATTTTCTGTGTTCAAATACAATGTCAATTGTTATTGGAAACAAATTTTTTTCCTTTTATGGTCATATTTATATACTTTTGCTGCTTGGTGCAAAAGTAACTTCTAGCTTTATCTTTCGCTAGTATATATATAGTATCACGGGGAGGACAGGGAAGAGCATCCTCCACCAACCTAGCCTTCTCTTCCACGGAGTGATCTGCCTCAATTTTGGCTATATTGATCTCTTCATTTTCGAGGTTTTATCGTTCAAGGTTTGAGCAATAATATACAAATAAGCTAACAGCCTAATCAAAGGGGGTCGCGCCATAATGGTGACAAATTTATGAAACCTGCAAAAACAAGATACGAGTAATTGAGTCCCCGTTTTGTCTGACAATAAACCTGCTTTTGAACAGAAGGAAAGATAAATTCAGAATTTACCGTTCAAAAGGAGATTATGTTAGTGAGGCTCCAACTCTAGCTGGTTTTAGCCTTTGCAGAGCACTTCTTCCATACTTTATTGCCATCATAAATAGACTGAATATATATAATAGGTAAAAGTGGATCTTTCCTAAGATTATGTTGGTTTCTCCCCCCACAAATGTTCTGCTTGAAGCTTCTGTTACCAGACACCCAGGCAAAGAGAGCAAACATTAGACATTAAAGACAAGGTTTATCTGTCAGATCAGATAGGATAATCTATTTTATCTGTAATTATCCCCACAAGATTTCTGTCATTGTCATCTTAGTAAATACCCAGAGCCATTCTTATATCCAGGCATTTAGTTAATAGATAGAGGAATAGTAATGATTTACTGCATGAAGGTCATTATACTGATCTGATAATGCAGGAGAAAAAATCTTGATTTTTAAGAAGAATGCATACCGGAAGTTTCCTTGGGGAAGTTGTTCCAATCATGCGGGTTCATCTTCATTTCTGATGCCTTTATCAAGTCAAGAAGAGCTTTATTAACCTGAAAATTTATGAGTAATTCAGTCTATAAAGGTTCTTTTCACAGGCAAATACCATAAATAAAACCGTTAAAATTTTCTCATTAATCATTGAGATATATTTTTAGTAATGACGGAAGTCGGTCAATATTTTCAAGTTAATATTCAACTCTCATCCATTAAGTAAATCATTAGCACATGCCAGAATATTACTTTCTGTACACAACTCTACAAGCTCAACACGAACTTTTTGTTACTCTTTCCCACTCAAATTCAGTGTTAAAGATATTTTCAACTTCTTTTAAAAGTGGCTTTTTAGTGCGCTTCCACCATAGAAAGATTCTCAAGGTGAACATTCATGATGCCTGCAATCAAGTGGCTGGCTTCACTTAGATGAAGAGAATTACCTCTTCTGTCCTCTCATGACTTACTAGATGCCCCCCATGAAGCTCTACCATTCTAGCAACAGGTTGTAGCTTCTCTGCAAGCCTCCTCGCATGGCTTATTTGAGCAATGACATCTTGCCTACACATTGAGAATGTTAACTTAGATGACTATCATACATTTCTGAAGAGATAAGTATGATGATAGATAGAAGACACTATATTGCGGTATGTGTACAACACAGAACATATCATAATCACTATCAAACTACAGCAACTAGATATTTTAATACAAATATACAACAAATACTAAATCAGCTTACACCTTGAATCTTACTTCAAAATTCAATTTGGAACTGTTAAGAGAGAGCTTTCATAAAGTTCACTTTTATTTCAAAATTCTTGTATTAATTCATGTGTCCACTTTTATCTTTAATGTTGCACTGGCATTCATTGCCGACCAACCTTCACACACTCTTGAAAGCACATTGAGATTCAAATTTTAAGACGATTTCCCACACTTGATTTCTATATGACCTAGGAGCAGTAAATATGAACTAAAATACACCACAAATAATGTGCTATATGTATAGAGGATTTTAAGGTTATCGAGATGATGGCTCTAGTTTCTTTCTCTCACCACAAACTAATCCAGTGGGAAAAAAGAAAAAATCATTCTTGTCATATGTCAAGCATAACTGAAATTTTAAAACTCAACTCTTCAGAAATTATTATATTCAGTTAATAAATAGACTGATATATCCTAAGAGAGTTCAAATATATATGTATGATTAACTATTTTCAGGGTTATGAAGATGTAGTACCTGCCGTGAATGACTGATACAAGAAATCCACATGAACGGATTAATTCAATTTCTGATCGTGTCATTTTATGTGTCCAGCATGCATTGATTTGACCATCAAAACCACAGTTAGATTGCATGCCAGTTGCTGTTATGCCTTTTACATACTCCTGCCAAGAACAAGCAAACATCTTGATGTTAGCATCTCACAAAGTTGATCTAGGGTTTATATAACAATATTATTGTTACAAACAAGTTAATAGGATTGTCTTCCTGGGAGCTGAAAAACCTCACATCAGTGCCTCTGTTAAGCAATAATCTAAACAGATAGCAGACTATGTAAATATATGACAATGATTTCACGCGGGGGATGATATTAAAAAGCCTGCCTACTGGGATACTTCTGAAAGATAATCAGTTTGGTATGGTATCATCCTTGAGATAAAGCCAACGAGGGGTATAGAACATATCCAATAAAAAAAAATCCTGCAACTTTAATATTTTAGATGAAATAGAGTATATTTCATTGAGTATTCAATCAAACTCAGCTGGGACAGCTAGTTGCAGCATACAGATTAATCACCAAAAAAAAAAAAAATTGCTTCGCTCTAATTCATTGTATATCTAATTGGTATACTGTAGTATCATGTATTCATCGCAAGAAAGTCAGACCATCCACTCAAACGAAGATTACTAGTTTCCAATGAACAAGGAGTAAAATTTATCAGGTCTAATTGATTAATATGATTGTCACTCAATGGCCAGTATCAACTTTCAACTTTAGCATTTCTTACTTGATACAAAGTTGCTCTTCTAGTGTTAGATCCGACATATTCTTCAAGATATTCCTGCAATCAGATGTAAAATGAGACTATATGAGTTGCCTTTGTGTATTAAAAGAAAAGTTACGTTAACTAATTTGTTTTTGGAAAAAGAACTAACATTTATTCTTGATAATTGCTCAACTGAATTTTAAATTTGACCTTGTTTGACTCAGAAAATCTTAAATTGGGATAGCAGATCACTAATTCTGAGAGGTATTAAACATATGCTATACAAAGCCTCACTGTCATTACCCAGTAGAATCATCCTAATACTCAGATTTACAAGAAAGTGAAATTTTTAATAAAGAACCCCATTAACATAAAAGACCATTACCTTCGAGTAGTGCGTATCTAAGTCAACTGCTGCTCTTTGTTCAGGAGTCTTGGCCTTTATAAAACGAATTGCAATGGATAGCGTTTTGCGGTCAAACTGCAGGAGAGTAAAACCAGTCAAATTGCCATTTCCTGCTTATACAACTTCCAAACGTATGACAATGCATCTGCTTTTCTGCCGAGGACAACTTATTAACTTTATATCAAGATGAGAACTTCATAAACCGTAACTCATTACAGATAGAACTAAGTCAAAAGGTTGGCCGATGGACAGGAATTAACTTCGTGTCGCTGTTAGGCTTCTTTCACAGCAACAGAGATATAATGTGAGAAGTGATATCTGGTGAAACCTGACAGATCAAGGAGTCTTCTTTATTCAGACTGATTTATCCCTCTACTGGAGAGGGAGAGCAAGTGCTTAGCAGATTATAATCACCTTCAACTACAAACAATTTTTTTTTGTTTTTTATTTTAGCTTTCCAAAACTAAAAGTGATCCTCCTTGTATTCTACACTTTTGCAAATGATTCCAAAATGTGTCATAATCTCTACAGGTTTCATTACAGTTTACTAACTATGCTGATAATGGATACTCGTATAAACACATTCGATCAAGTTTATGATAAAATGAAGACAGGAAGAAAAAGAAGCCAATTGCCTACTATTTGTTTGATGGGACTAGCATCAGTGTTCTACAATTTAAAAGGAAATTGAAGACAAGCCACGGCTCTTAAACACTAAAAATACCTTTGGAAAACATTCAAAGCCTCCACCCGTTACATTAAGTAATGCCGAAGAGAGAATTCTATCAGGCACCATGGCCGCCATCCTACAAGCAATCATAGCTCCTGTTTTCATATAAGAAATTCAAACCAGGTTATTTTTAGAAGATAATTACAAATTTTTCTTAAATAAAGAACAATTGTAATTAACACAAAGAATCAATATCAGAAGAAGGTTAATGAATTCTTCTGGACCTAATGCATTCTTGCAATGAAAAGTCCAGTGGATTCACTCTCACTCACCCATTGAATGCCCAAAAACATGGGCTTTCTTCCAGCCCAGATGATCCAATAAGGCAATTGCATCTTTTGCCATAATTCTTGTCCTGCACTCGACAACCAGAAGATTAAAAATAATAAAAAAAAATCACTTTTCCTGGATCAAACCACAGCTAAAACCTAAAAGGATCGTAACTTGAATTAGTACCTTTTAAGTCACTTCCAGCCTAGCAAATTATAAAATCCCATACTTTAATATAGCTTTTAGTAAAATCAACAATAAATTTTCATTGTAAACTTCAACAAATAACAACTACAGTTTACCCACAAAAACAGGCCAAAAAAAAGTACTACACTACTAGTATTAAATTGCATTAATTAACAAAAAAACAGGAATGGGGGAATTTTGAGAGTCAAAACAGAAAAAGTTAAAAGGAACAAAAAGACTCACGTATAGTCGGATTTTTTGGTGGGGACGGAGCTCCGACCCATGCCACGATTATCAAAGGCACAAACCTCGATTCCACCAACCTCATTGTGACCCTCGCCGGGTTCCCGATCAACCGCCATCGTTTCATCGCCGTTGGGCCTATCAGTTCCGGTCAGCCCCTTAATTTGTGGGCCCCATGAGTCGTGTGTCGCCGCCAATCCTGACCAATCATCCGCCAAATATCAGCAACTCAAACAAATATCATCAAAATATCAAAAAAAAAAAAATTGAATGGAAAAAATATATAGCAACCTATGATGAGGAGGACTTTGGTAGTGCCGTGACCGTAAGTTCGATAAAAAATCCGGATCCCATTGTTTAGAGCTGCGTCGACTCCGCTCTGCGTTTTTACCACCTCGCAAAACGGCATCGTGTTCGTGGAGTGGGTTGAGAATTTATGTTCCGCGGAGAGAAAATGGAGAGGATAAAATTTTTGGCTCTTTCGTTTTCAATATATCCGGGACTTGGTCAGATTTCACTGTTCCAGAATAGAAAGGAAGAGAAAGAGAAGACGAGAAACGACGATGCATACTTATACCGGTTCGAGCATTTGGATTGGAACACGTGGCGGATTACAGCTGCTTTTTGCCACGTAGGATAGTCGGTGGGCGCGTAAGTGGTCAAAGTCATAATAAGCCAAGATGAGCACATGGGAAAATTGAGGTTGCCCAACCATCTCCGTAACCGGGCAAAAATTCGTTATGTTTGATTAAAACGATACAGCCGTACAGGTACTAATTGTTAGGTTAATTTATTAGTCTAATATTACTTCTTTGGTTACTCTTTAATAAATAAAAAGCTTCCGAATATGTTTTATAAAAACATAGCACCTAAAATAATTCTTAAACAATTCAAGGAAGGAAATTCAAATAAATTTTTATTTTGTTATTAAGTTCAATCAATAAAAATACATGAACTTAATTAAGTATAATAAAAAATAAAATTTTTTCATATAATTAAAGAACTTTTTAAAATGCTATACTTTACCTATATGTTAGTTCACCAATAACATTATTGGTGTATGATGTGAGTATCGTGGTGGAAATTGGAATACATTAATTTACAATCTCCACACAAATTCAGAATCTCTAAACGAGTAAATCCATATATACAAATATGACAGTTATTGATAAACACCACCAATTTGAGACTCACATCCTCTTGCTCTAATCCAGTTCCAAGACGAATGTCAAATTCTAGTCAAGCAGATGCCAATCTGCGCCACATAGAAAATGTGGAAGGTGATATAAGGATACAACCACCCCATGGTTCAACCAAGGAGTAATCCAGCTCCAGCAAGGCTCAGTCCCACCCAAAATGCCGTGGTGGATCTACCGGCCCCAAAGTTCATTGAGCTCCGCTTTTGGTCAACAACTTTGTGGTCAGCCTTCTTCGTCTGCATGCCTTTGTATGGTACCCAATGTAATCCAGCTGGAAAAAGAGTAGAAACTGGTTGGTTCTTGTAACAAAGCTAGAATGAAGAATTCTTGAGCTGCAGCAGTTAGAGCCACTGCTGGTATGCAAAAAAGTTGAGAAACCTGTCTGAAAAAGACTCTGATGATGTGCTCCTTCTCATTATATGCCTTTTGTCCTGCTTTCTCTGCTTCTCTTGCTCATGTCTGAGAATGACATATATATCTCAGTAATACCAAAGGAAAAGGTCTAGAATTCCATTGGTTTCAGCTCCTTTTGTAGGATGATGTTACAGATAACCAATAAACATCCCTGAAGTTTCAAACTTAAAATTATAGCTGACTCATACAGTTTTTGCAAGCATAAGATGTGTATCGTTTTGCATGGTGGATCCTTGTAACTTCAGCATATGCTCTTGCACACTCAAATTATCATGACACCTACTTAAGCGCCATAGGGGCACCTCAGCACAAATTGCCTAGTGTGTTGAGAGCATAAAGTGAAAGAAAATGTAAAGTTTCATGAAATATATATAGACTCCTTATAGGAACTATTTCAGAAATACAGAATCAGTGATGATGATAAAACTACAAAAGCCCTCTAAAGAAATAATATAGAACCATACCTTAATAAACTATCTGAATTTGAAAATGAGTGTTGCATATCACCTAACATGCATTGGTTTTGATCTACAATTAACTGAGATGGACCTTCCCCAATGATGGTTGCTAAGATCAGAGAAGCCTTTCTTAATTGTCCAATCTAAAGATGAGGGCAGAGTTTCACAATAGCCGGACGACTCTTGTGAAGGAAGTTGCCCCTTCCTGAAATCCTTGGTTAGTGGTTGTGGAAGATCACAATTTTCAACACGATCAACTGATTTCTGAGTAACCATGGAAGCCAATTCATCTTTGTCAATTATGTGCCACCATGGCTCAGTCTTCTCAGCTTGCACTAACTGAGGTTCAAACTCAGAAAAAGGTGTCTTAGGCTGTTTCGAGATTAAGCAATTCTGTTCTAAGCCCATTAGATGATCATCTAGATACCAGGAATCCTCCATACGCTTCTTAGGTGCTTTTTGTGCATTGCTATTGAGTATTGCATTGGATTCTTCCTTTCTAACATTGTGATCACTTTTCACACATTCAGCATAGACCTTCTGTGGATCCTCAGGAATACGATCTTTTATACAATGAGAACTTTCATCAAAACAATGATCCTTGCTAATTTGGGGACTTTCATTAAGAAAACCAGCTTCCGAAACTTCAAGCTCAATCTGCGGGACATTTTGTTGTGCACACATAAAATCTTTATGGTTCCCAATGTGGTGTCGCAGTTGCAACCACTACTGAGAGTCAGGTGTTGGCACCAGATTTTGGTTATCGGGCATGCTAAGAGGAGTAGCCTGATCTGGTCCACTTGCAGCATGACTATTGTTCCATCAGCATCCAATCTTGATGAAGATGAAGATGGACAGCCAGAAAACTCTGAAGCCCTTCCAGCATCCTCTTTGACAAACCAAGGGTCAGCTGTATGTTCCCGGGCAGCCCATTGCTTCAGCCTCTGGCATTACCTATTCACCTCAACAATCTCTGATGGATTCAATAGTGACAAAATTAATATCTAATATTATAAGCATTATTCAACGAAACAATAGAATAATCCACGGTTGCACACTAAGGCATTTCGAAGCTTAAATTTAGTTCCATATACTAATCCTTAACGAAAAGGCATATCCCACCTAAGCGGGAATCTTAAACCTCCAAAACCATGAACAGATTGTATATCGGACAAATACGAAGCAAGCTCTACATGCCCCATGAACACACCAAATGTAAAACAGTGTAACTGTTTGAAACCTCAAAAATTACTATGCAAGTTCAATATCATGAACGCATGAAGTAGGAAGAAACAAACCCCAAAAACCAGTCCCGAAGTTTCTAACACATACACCGACTAAAACGATGCAAAATTAAAGAAACCCCATCACAAATAATTCCCCTAAACATTCCAAAACAGATAAAAATATGTTCATCCAATGGAATTCCATTATATTCCCAAAGATTAACAAAAAAAGTGAAGAAAACAATTAGCAGGCTCGAAGACAAACTATGGCTTTAAGAAAAATACCTTGTTCGAGGGAGGGATTGATGGTTTTGCTGGGTTTTGCATTAAAAGTGAAATGCATTTGAGATCCAAAGGTACAGAGAGACAGGGAGTCTATCTCCTCCTTCCCTGCTTATCACTGCTTATCACCGTAACGGTGTACTTAAACCGAAAGAAGAAGTACCGCTTCGAGGTGCTTGTACGCTGTGCTTTAAGTATTGTAACGTGAACTTGCTGCTAATTTGTTCTTTATTATTACTATTATTATTATTATTATTATTATTATTATTTGTAATTAACATCTTTTTGAATTAGATTGTGAGTTTTACCAAGATTTTTATCACTTCTAAATACCAATAAATTACCTTTCATGAAAACAACAAAAACCACCAAATAATATTGCTATAATCAAATCTTTAATTGAATGATAAACAACAGGGTTTTTTAGAATAAAATGGTAAATAATATCTTTAAATAAATGGTAAATAACAACTCAACTTTATTACATAACAACAAGATAGTAGCGTCTAGCCTTAAATGAGTTATACTAGTTAAAATTCAGCAAATTTATTGATAATTTTCATAAAAAAGTTGTGAATAAAATTAATTAAATCCGAATTACACAAAAAAAAACATAAATAGTATAATTTTAATATTCTGTGAAATTTAGAGATGCCAATAAGTATCTTGTAATCAAGTATTTTTACATCATAACAATATGTTAGGCAACTAGGCATAGGAGTGGAATTTATACATATTTTTTCTAGAAATTATTATGACTATTTACTTTCAAACTATGCATTTTACAAAGAAAATCAAGTCTCGAAATTTTCAATCATTAATTATAATGAAAATTAATCTTACCTCGTTGCACTAATGGCTGAATTGAATAATTTAATTACTTTTATCAATAATGTGATTGTGATTAAGCCAGATAGTGGAAACATATTCAATGGTCACGTAGAAAAAACTTTGCTAAAACCAAGAAAATAAGTTGATTAAACTCTGGGTTTTGCTATTTGGCCTAAAAATAGTGATTGTAAGTCATCCAACATTTTGTCTTCATTCGGACATTTTTTTCCAAATAATTACAGTCTCCACACTTTAGCACTCGTTTGTCCCTTTTTTTTCCTTTGGCACTATATATGCAGATGAATTATACTAAATAGATTGGTAACCATGAGCATTATGTAATGTAGGTCTATCAAGGATATACTGAGCTAAATTAAACTTATTCGTTTACCAGAAAAATGAGTTGTATAACCTCTCCAGATTAAAGGGATATATAACCATCCAGATTAGCTTTATCGATAAGGATAAGAATGTTTGAATACAAATCCTGAGTTCAATGTTTTCTCTTATTATATTAGGCTACCTATTAGGTTTCGATCTCATCAGATTAGTTTTGAATGGAAAAAGCTGGTCATACGAGTTGGTGAACTTCACATGATCTTCATCATGGGACTCTCACCCTGGAGCCCTGGACCATACTAACCTCTATTTAATGCTAACACAAGGGAATCTTATTGTTAGCAAGGGAGCAGCAGTTCCAGGATTCTGAGCCCAGTTTCGACCTTGTCCATGGTTTCGGAAAATCTGTAAAGCAGTGTTGGGCACTTAGCGGCAGGCTATTTATTTTCCACATCAACAGCGAGATCTACATTTTCCTGCTCGTCATGATGGCACATGCCCAAGGCCGATTCATTATTATGAAAAGCAATAAATCAAATAAATTGAAAGGAAAAAGGAAAAATTCAATGTCTTAATGTTGATACATATTACTTGCAATCAAAAGTCTTAGTCTTGGTCTTAGTTGTAAGAAATGATCTTGAGTAGGAGAAGACAAAGAAGGTAGTACAACCCATACCTTCCATCTTAGCTAATTTCGCTTTCTCTCTCCATAAAAAACAAGATATAATAAACATAAATAATAATAATAATAGTAATTGCTTTTGTTTTTCAAGAATAATAGTAATTAATGTTAATTAAAAATAAAGGAATAAAAATTGTGACATTAAATAAGGTAAAATAGTACAAATTTTAAAATTAAAAATATAATATCTCGTATTTAAATTGTTTTTAAATATATCTTTTCAAGTTATATAATTCATTATTTATATCAGTACTAATAAATGAAACAATTTACCAACAAAAGTAAAAGTTGCACAAAGCACAATAAATATTTACAGTTTACATGTTACACCGTTTTTTCAACAGTCCAATGTCCCTCCACCCTCACCTGAGTACCCGAGACAGGAGAGGCTAATAAATAAACAAACGAAAACGCCGTACGGCCCTTCGAATACGGACTCCAGTGATTAGTTTAAATTTGATTAAATTTATTTTTTTTTCTTTTTCCCAAAATTAAAAACTAGAGTCCCAAAACGGCGTCGTGGAAGACCGGCTTACCCGAGATGGTACTCGTTATATATCTGCCCGCAAAGAAAGTAAGGTATCCTAACCGGAGCAAGTGAATGATCTTTTGCAGCTCAAAGTGTGTATGACACGGCTAACAGCTCTCGTCATTTCAGATTCTCCATCTCTAGTTAGGTTTCTCAGTCTCACTTGCATTTTCTTGAAATTTCCCGAGAAGCAAACAGAAAAGAGCTGAAGGGACAGTCAGACAGACAGCGTAAGAGCAAAGCTTTGCTATTCTCAAAACCCTAGACCCGATCCATGACAAGGAGCAGAACCATCATCATCGTCATCGGCCAAACTGTTTTGAAACATTGACAAAAAGACAAGGACTGAAATCTTTGTGAATCGAAAGTTCAGAACCTTAAAAAAGCTTTAGTTTAGTGTTTGTTAGATGGAGAGATCTAGATCCAAGAGGAACTATTACTACGACCAAGACTATGATGGAGAGAACATGGGTAGAACAAAACCTCGGTACAACAACCATCACTACCTACCCAACAGTCACCGCCACCGTGGCAACAATCCCAACAACAACAACGGCAACAACGGTCGACCGTCGAATAAAGGCGGTAGCGGAGGCGGAGGAGGACAAGACTCTTCCCTTATGGTAACCACGAGCTACCGCATTCTCTGCCACGACATGAAAGCCGGGGGCGTAATCGGCAAATCCGGTAGCATTATCAAGTCCATAAGGCAACACACTGGCGCGTGGATCAACGTTCACGAGCTGATTCCCGGCGACGAAGAACGCATCATCGAAATATCCGACACGCGCCGCCGTGACCCTGAAGGGAGAATGCCGTCGTTTTCGCCTGCTCAGGAGGCGTTGTTCCTTATACATGAGAGGATTCTGGAGAGTGATTCGCAGTTTGGGTTTGGCGGTGGCGGAGGAGAGGAGGAGGAGGATTACGGAGGGGTGGTGAGAGGAGGAGGGAATAGGGTGGCGACGAGGTTGGTGGTTTCGAGGATGCATGTGGGATGTTTATTGGGGAAAGGAGGGAAGATTATTGAGCAAATGAGAATTGAAACAAAGACTCAGATTAGGATTCTACCTAGAGACCATACGCTGCCCCGTTGCGTTTCCATGTCTGAGGAGATTGTTCAGGTCTGCAACCAAATTGCATTTGGATTTGGATTTGGATTTGGATTTAATGCACAAAAAAGGGGAAGTTACTAAATACTAATGCATGGGGTTTTTAATATTTGGTATGTTTAAATTCAATGGCTTAATGGAAATGATTGGGCGGTTAAATATTTATTTATTGACAAAAAGATTTCAGGTTTTGATTTGAGATTATTGAGCTGAATCCAAAATCCTGGTTTGAATGAATGTTACCCGTGGATTGTAGGAGTTACTAGTGTGATCTCCATGCATTACTTTTTCCCTTAAAAAAACCTGGACATCTAAATATTAAGCAGCTAATTACTATATGCCATTGGCAGCAGTCTTAAGTGCTGCTTGATGAACCAATTTCTACATTTTAAACAATTTGCCCTTTGCTGAAAAAAAGACCTGTTCTTTCTTCTCATCTGTTGTTGATTCAAAGAGGCTTAAGCTCTTCAGAAGGTTTTATTATAAATTTACTTCATATATTTTTAGCTGGTATATTGTGTCAAATAAGAATAATGTAAATTACTTGGGAATTTAAACTCTTTGTCCTGCTCTGATTGCATGCCTATGAACTTCAATCTGTTGTGTCTTCAATTTTCTTGAAGTTGTTGATTGTTGCATGGCGCAATTTCTTTTGTACTTTTGGCTTTTGTTGATACTTGGTATTTTGGGCAGTGAAAATGTCTGTGTTAATGAGTTTTTCCTCTAATGATAGCTCACTGAAAAACCATTTCATGCATTTTGAAAGCCGTTGTTTTGCATTGACATGCTCAACATCATGCTTCTGTGTTATTTGAATGTATCATCCATATCAGATACAAGTTCTTTTGATTTTCTCCCAGCAGTTCTATAAGTATTCTTTTTATTTTGGTAAGTACTAATTATTCATATGAATGCTACATAACTATAATAATCTCCAGTTGATGCCATTTTGCCAGTGAACCATATATCTATGATTGCTGGCAAAGCAGTCTAAATCTAGGAATTCTATGCTGCTTAGGCTGCAAGTTGGTCACAAAAGTTGGATAGTTCAGATCCATGCATCTTAAGTAGTGTCCATGCTGCATTGCAAAGAATAAGGCTCCTGATGTTGCTAACTACTGGGAGTGGTTTTGCTACCAAAAATGAGTATTCTAGAAAGTTTTTCTGGTTTAAGTTCTATTTATGCATATGCAGTATGAACTTCATGCTTTCCTCCTAATTTCCCTCTGGTGGAAGATATTAATGTTGTGACAGCATTATCATATGGTAATTTTGTCTAATGTTGTTTGTCATGCAGGTTGTGGGGGATGTAAATGCAGTTAAAAATGCTATAGCAATTATTTCATCACGCTTAAGGGAGAGTCAGCATCGTGACCGCAGTCATTTCCATGGGCGAATGCATTCACCAGAGCGATTTTTCCCTGATGATGATTATATTCCACACATAAACAATGCATCACGTCGTTCATCTATGGATGGGTTGACTTTTGGTTCACGGGTGCCTGCTACAAATTACAGAGGCAATAATTATTCCTCACGTCCATCTGGCTTCATTGAAGCTGGGACTGCTCCTGTGTCTGACAGTGGACAGCCTCTTTATGGTGATGATCTTGTATTCCGTATACTTTGTCCAATTGACAAGGTTGATAGTGTTTTTGGAGAGCCAGATGGCATAGTAGATTTACTCCAAAATGAAATTGGTGTGGATGTCAAGGTTGCTGATCCTGTGACAGGGTCAGATGAGCAGATAATTACCATTTCTTCTGAGGAGGTACTTACCATCTCTCTATTGTTGTTTCATGACACATGGCCACATGGGTGGATAGTTGTTTGTTTATCCTATAAAGCACTTTATTCTCGTATATGCCATTGTTTGGGGGGGTGATAAATTCCATCAAACTTTCACTTATCAAATTAAATGTTGTCTTTTGTAATGTTTAAACACTTGAAAAATATTTTTAAAAAAATTGTTCATTCCTTCTGAAATTTGAAATACATAGTTATAGAGGTTTCTAACTTTTCTTTGGCCTTTCTTTTGTCCTTAGGGTCCTGACGATGAGTTGTTTCCAGCTCAGGAGGCTTTATTGCACATCCAAACTCAGATTGCTGACCTTGTTCCTGATAAAGATAACATTATAACTACTAGGTTAATTGTTCCATCGAGTGAAATCGGATGCTTAGAGGGAAGAGATGGGTCATTATCTGAAATGAAAAGATTAACTGGTGCAAACATACTGATCTTGTCGGGAGAAGAACTTCCTTCTTGTGTATCAGGACCTGATGAGATTGTACAGGTTTGCTACTTACATACCTTAATTCTTATGAAGCATTAAGATCTTAGCTTCTGGGTGCTATACAATCCAGGTCAAAGAAAGGGTTCAAAACCTGGGGTCTATTAAGTTTAATAGCTGAGGGCAGGCTGATTGGATTGATTTACCTTGTGTATTCTGAATGGCATTTTGATATACTCTACAGATTGTTGGGGAGATAAAGGCAGCTCGAGATGCTCTTGTTGAGGTCACATCACGACTACGAAGTTATTTATATCGGGAATTCTCTCAGAAGGATACTCCTTCAGCTATCTCTGCAACAGCGTCTCTTGGGAATGTTTCAGCACTGGAGAATGCTTCTCCAAACTTAACTCCTGTGCGTGATGGTCAAACTGTCAGTGATCCTCCTACTGGAACCTATCAGAATGTGCTAACTATGGCAATGCCACCGTCATCAAAGGTTGTAGTCAAATTCCTTTGGTCTTTGTATTTGTTTTTGTGTGTTGTTTATGTAGTCAAAAATTAACTTCCATTTTCTTTAGCTCCTATGGGTTTTGTACTGTTCTTGGTTGTTCACGTGGTGAACAGCTTGAAAGTGATGTACAACTGGTGACTTGTTTTGGTAGTTTCTCAGGGCTCTTCTTCTGTATTCTAAGAACATAATTATAATGACTTAATTCTTAATTATAGGAAGTTGTGAACTCTAGTGCTGAAACAATGAAGCAGACTGAAAGTGAACGCCGTGAAGATATACCAAGTACAATTAGCAGGTGACTAAGTTTTGCATTATTTCACTCTTATTTTTTATAATGAAGGTTGCATCGCACACTATTATTTTTTGTTGCTCTTATCTTTTAAAAAATTTTATTTAAAGAACAAATGTTCTTTCAATCTTTAGTATTTTAGAGGGTCCTTCTGATAAATAGTGCTTCTCCTGCTTGTAATATTCTATCAGAATCCCTGTACCACTTGTTACGAGGAGTACACTTGAAGTTGTCATACCAGAGCATGCAGTTCCCAAGCTCATAACAAAATCTAAAAACAAACTGGCACAGATCAGTGAGGTAAGCATTGATGCTTTCAATTCCCTATTTAATTTATGTTTAACTTTGGTTCAATCTAATTTCAAATCATTGGTCTCTTGGTTTGTGTTTTCTGGGTAAAGCTGTCTGGTGCCAATGTAACTCTGGTACAAGATAAACCAGACGACGCTCAAAAGATCATTCAAATATCAGGCACTCCAGAGCAGTCTGAGAGAGCCCAGAGCTTGCTTCAAGGCTTTATATTAAGCAGTGAGTCTCTTTGTATATCTGTATGTTTGTGTGCCTCGTATAACTTTTCCTTTATTTTGTTCTTCTCCACTGCTGTCTAACTGGGCTCTTTCTCTTTTCAATTCAGCGCAAGAAGATGGACCTTAAGCTACTGCTGCTAGTAATTGGGGCTAGAACTCAGAGCTGTCTGTATGGGGACAATGCCATTAAGATTTTCCCTGTTATTTAGGCACAAAACGATTTGTATGTCTTTTACTTAGCCTCTGTTTTAGATTGCTGAGTGTTGGAAGGGTGAGAGAGCTCCATTGTAAATGTAACTTGAGGAGCTCTTGGTCTAAGTTTTTCCTGCAATACTTCAATTTTCCTGAATGAAGAAAGACCGCAGTTGATTTGTTGTTCAGACTTCTGCTTTTGCATACACTTTGCCATTGTCTGCTTCTATCAAATGTAAGTTTTTATACTTTCAAATTCCATTTTGCTTGGTTTATACTTAAATCTGTTTTTAAACAACATAAAATATTGTCAACTGTTTTACTACTGGAAGTATACAACACAAAGTCACGAACAGCATTATGCTACTTGATTATCAATCCCTGTCTGTTAATTGAGTCCGATTATCACTTCGTGAACCACGACGAGACCAATAGATTGGAATTTTGTGATTTAAAAAAAGAAGAAGTGAATTTATATTTTTAATTTATTCTTAAATATTCATACAGATAGACTACTAAAATAATTAGTATATAAAACAAATTTATGAGAATTAATTAGTTGACACCCCGTAGATGATTTTTTTTTGTTCTTTGAACTTTTGGTTTCCGCTGCAATTTGAACCGACCTTATCAGACACGGGCTTATAACATCTCAGTCTCTGCCCCACCCAACCGCCTTCATCTCTCTGACTCTGACTCTGTTACCCACCCACTTAACCAGGAAACCGGCAGAAAGAAGAAAACAAAACTACCAACTTGCGAGCTTTTCTTCTCTCATTGCAACTCTCTTCCCACTCTCATGGCAGCTTCTATCCTTATCCCCTCTCCCTCTTTCAACACTTCCAGGTACCCTCTCTGGCTCTCTCTCTCTGATTGCTTATCTTTGTACTCTGCACATATATGTACGTATGTATCTGCGAAAAGTTTTCGAATTCACTTTTGGGTGTTTTTATCTGGGTTTTGTAATATCACGAACTGTCTTGTGGGTCCTCTTTGTTCAATCTTTGCACAATTTTTTTTTATTGGGGGTGGGGGGGTTGTGGGGATGAGTTACTTTTTATCCTTCTTAATATTCTCACCTTTCAAACTATTTCAGGACAAGCCAAGTGTCTCTGAACTTGCATTCACAACACTGGCATCAAAGCATCAGCCGCTTCTCAGTACCTCTTAAAACCCAGAAATCAAGTCTTAAGCTTTACATGATACCTGCTAATCCAATTGTCGCCAGCCAGTTTCTGTTGAAACCTTTTGCTGCAGTTGACTCATTAGAAGCACATGTCTCACCTGACCAAAATCGTGCTGCTTCGGGTGTTTCATCTCAAACTGGTTTCGACAGGTGGGACCTATATCTTGCTTACCCATAATTTTGCCCTTATTTTGATGTTACTGCTTCTTAATTTACCTTTCCTGTACATCTGAATTCTTATGCTTCTGACTCGTGGGCTTTGCCTGAAGTGATGTAACGTTGGATGGCACCTTTGGTTTCAAATCTGACCATGAAATGATCGTGACATCGTTTGTATCCTTCTCTAGCAAAGCTGAGTCTACAAAAATTAAGTAGCTGAAAAAAATTTGTCTGTTATTAGCAGGTCTAAAACATTGCTTGACAGAGCAAGTATCTCCTTGGATGGCATGAATGACTTTGAGGGACAGCTGCAAGAGCTATTTAGTGAGGTCAAAACATTAATTATGACTGGGAACAAGAATGATGCTGTAGACCTACTTCAAGCAAATTATGAAGCTGTAAAAGAACAGATAAATGCAGGTGCTAAAGGCATAGAAGAAGCTGCTATTCTTGATGTTATAGCCTTGGGTTACATGGCTGTTGGAGAATTGAAGTTTGTGCACCCTCTGCTCAATTTGGTAACTTCCTTTTTCTTTGGAAACTAAGTTTTCATGTGTGTGAGGCCTCTGTTTTACATGATAATGTACTTGGGTACTAATAACTTATTGATGTGGTTGTCGATTGCTAAATCGGACTTTATGCAAATGCTTATAAGTTTCATGTAAGGGTTGGAAGGGAATGGAAAGTTATTTATTATTGTTTCTTCTATTTTACCTGGGTTAATCTGGTTGTATACTTGTTAGACATAAGTGGATTAGATGGCGCTAATGACCAATATTCACAAAAGGTGTGTGCAAAATTATATTCAGATATTTTGAAAGCCATCCCTGCTATTCTTTCTGTTTCAAGAGTGATATACATGATAATGGGAAAAAAGTCATTGAAAGTTTAGTCTTAAAGTTAGGGGAGCTTCATTTCTTTTTCCCCATTTAAACTTTGTAAAGTACAATTTATATTTCCTTTTTACCTTTTTTTGGGTCCTTTTTCGTCTTATATTTATAAATTCATATGTTGGTTTTCTGTGTGGCAAATAGGTTATAAAGATTAAGTACCACTTTCTGCTATGTCCAAGGCAAAAGTGATAGATAAATGGCTGAAGAGTTCTGACTGCAATCAAAACTACACATTGATGAATCAGTCACTCATCAAGAGAGAATTAAAAGTTTTTCTTCTCTGCTTCAATTTTCTTGATGCAATTATTTTCATGATGGCAGATTAATGAGGTTATCAAGGATCAAAAGGATGATGAACCTTTTCTGGACTTGATACTTTTGCATATGGGAAGTATGTATTCAACTTTGGGGGAGTTTGAGAAATCCATGCTTGTCAATCAAAGAGTTACTGATATTCTAGAGAACAGACATGGTAAGTGCCTCCTTTTTGTGCCTTTTTTTTTTATAAAATTTTTGGTGTTGCATATGAGCTTCACTCATCCCTTTTCTCAGTTGGTTTCTCTCAATGATTATCTAAAATTCATGTCTTCTCCTAGGGAAAAATAGTGTTTTTCTTGTCTCACCATTGTTGGGGATGACAAAAGTTCTTAGTTCTACTGGAAGAACTACAAAAGCAGTTGATATCTATCATCGTGTGATAAAAATCTTGGAATTAAGTAGAGGTGCTGAAACTGAGGATCTTGTGGTACCTTTGTTTGGACTCGGAAATCTTTTAATAAAGGAGGGCAGAGCTACAGATGCAGAAAATGCTTTTATAAGGTAAGTGAGCATATTCTTTCATATTGATTTGGTTATAGTTTTGAGTTCTTTGTTCACTTGTTATGTGCTTTTTCCCTTTTTCAGAATTCTAAATATATATACCAAGTTATATGGGGAGGACGACGGAAGAGTTGCCCTTGCTATGTGTTCCCTAGCCCATGCAAAGTGTGCAAAAGGTAGCTTCTTTAATCTCTCTCTCCCCCATCCTCACCCCCAATCCCTAAATAAATAAAGGACTTAAAGCATTTTTGGGGCCCTTGCATTGTTTTTAAATCATAAAACATCCTTCAGTACTTCAAAAACCTTTAAACTGCAATTATAGTTTATTATGCCACTTTTCTTACAGGGAATGCAAATGAAGCCATTGATTTATACAAAAAGGCTCTCCAGATAATAAAGGATTCGAGTTATATGCCTTTAGATGATAGCATGATGGAGAATATGAGAATAGATTTGGCGGAACTGCTTCATGCTGTGGGAAGGTAAGTTGGATACAAAGTTGCAACTAAAAATCTGCATGCATTCAATAGATTTTTATGCTTGGTTTTCTCAGCCTTTGGGATAATTCCATCTGTGGATGTCTCTGAATGTGCTTGGATGGGGAGCATTGTTCATATGGGATAGCATCTATAATGAGGCTGAAAAAATCAAGTGGCTGCTGTATGCCATTAGGCCTGCAAAATTTAGAAGTGTCTTACCTTGAAGAAAATCTCATTCAGAAGCAAAAGGAATTATAATGCGTTACTATTTGATTTTCTGATTATGCAGGGTAAAGTTTTAGCATGTCATAGTAGTAGTCTTGTGCTTGCATTTCCTATTATACAGTTTTGGTAAAAGCATAGTCTTACTTTCTGTTGTAATTTGTATGCTGGTAGAGGAAGAGAAGGTCGGGAACTGCTGGAGGAATGTTTATTGATCACTGAGAAGCTTAAAGGAAAAGATCATCCCAGCTTAGTTGCGCACTACCTAAATCTTGCAACATCATATTCACAGTCTAAAGATTTTGTTATGGCTGAACGCTTGTTGAGGACAAGTTTGGAAATCACAAAAAAGGCTGAGGGGCCTGACAATCCATCAATAACTTTTCCAATGTTGCATCTTGCTGTTACTCTTTACCATTTAGAGCGGGATGAAGAAGCTGAGCAAGTAGCGCTTGAGGCTTTACACATCCGTGAGAAGGCATTTGGAAAAGATTCACTGCCTGTTGGTAAATGCTACTATCTCATTTATTTGTGCTGAGTTTGATTAGGCTAAATATCATATCATCGTGATGATTTTAAAGAATTAGAACATCATTAGAAGAAAATAATCGGAGTTGTGGCCTTGATTGCATCATGATTCTACTACTATACATTTTGTAATGTTCTTTGATTTTATGGCAGGGGAGGCATTGGACTGTTTGGTGTCAATTCAGACCAGACTTGGGAAAGGTGAGGTTGAGTTACTGGAGCAGCTCAAGAGAATTCTGAGGATTCAAGAGAAAGAGTTGGGCTACGAGAATGAGGAGGTTATGATAACACTAAAAAAAGTTGTATTCTACTTAGATAAATTAGGGAAAAAGGATGAGAAATTTCCCCTAGAAAAAAGACTGTCCAGACTTTGGATGAAATACAAACAGGTTGTTCAATATTAATATGGCATTTTCTCATTTTCCAGAAAAGAAAAGTCATCACCTTGCTCAAGTTGTTTATATAGTTGACGAATTATATGAAGGAAAATGGAAAATCATAGAGTGCATTAAGTATCTGAAAAGTTTGCGAGTTAGACCAAAATTCTTAATTGATATCAAATCGCAATATGAGCATACAAGTTTACACTTTTGACAAATTCCCTTGGCAAAACCCAAAGACAATACCATCGGTACCATAAACCTCACAATCCCTATAGAATTGTAAGCTTCTTCTTGCGTAGGCACACTGGTACATGGCTGAGCGATTGGCAGAAGTATGAAATGTTACGTGGCCACAAATCCTTCTCCTTTGGCGGCTAATGGGTGGAAACAAACCCAAATCAAGAGAAATCAAGGTCATTTCTTCTTGATCAAGACTAAAGAAGAGAAGCTAGTATGAAAGTGCCAATTACTCCTTATGGGGCTAACTGTTAGCCTATCTATGTAATTCCAAAACAGGCTCTCATTCTCGAGTTTGGTTGCATCAAGATACGAGCCCAAACTACAAAATTGATGTGGGTCAGTTTCTTATGGAAGTTAAAAATGTTTATGAATGTTTTGAAAGCAGACATAGACAGAAACATACCAATGGTAGCAAGTATCATACGTTTTGAAGCCACCTGCATGGCTTCTTTTCGCTGTGATTTTGGATCTTAACAATTTTGGTATATATTCCTTACCTTCTGAATTTCGTAAGGGAAGTTGCTGCCACGTCGACATGTTGACCAAAAGTCAGAATATGGTCATTTTGTAATTTTTGTACGTAATTGGTGGCATTTGCAAACGATAGGGATATACCATCTTTCTCTCCGGGAGCGTTCAAGAGTTAGTACGGGGCACGGGGCAGGGCCATGGCGTTTGCTATCTCCAACCCAACCTGCATTTCTTCTTCCACTTCACCTCTACTTAAAACGGTAAAAGATTCAAACCCTTTTTTACTTTCCAATTTTGGCCTCACCATTTACTTTGTAAGTCAATATTGATTGGATCCCTTTCTTTGTCTGACGCAGGCGAGAGCAGGGACAAGTTCATGGCGTCTCAACCCCAATTTAAAGTGTCAGGTTTCTATTTGGAAATTCATTTTGTTTTTAGAATTAATTTCATGTAACTATTTTTTATTTTGTAATAAATGAGTTTTTTATTTTAAAGTGTCAGGTTGTTTCCCGGTTCGAAAGTGAGGGTGGTGGTCGCCGTGTTTGGCGCCGGAGAAAATTGGTATATGGTCAAACTTGCTTTTTATTTCTTTCTTGCGTATAAGATAGTTATTAGTATCAATTTACCAGTAAATTGAAATTAATAAAAAATGGATAAGAAAAAATGAAATGAATTTTTGTACTTTCTGATGGATATGTTTAGTTAGATTCATGGTGAAGTAACGTTTAATTGCTTTGAAACTCAGATGTCTTTATTCATATCTAACTAAGAATTTGGATTAGGTGAAGGTGCTGTTTACTTTTATGATAATTTATGGGATAGAGTTTGTGAAGAAAAGTTTGATGTTTCTGTTGAAACATTCACCCTTTGAGTTCAATCTAAATTCAATAGGTGTGGGAGACTGATAGTTTTTCAGCATTTACCCTTTTTCTCATTCCCAAATGCAATTTCATGCTAGAAAGACAGTTTAGAGACTTACTGAGTGGCTTGTGGTGGGCTATACCTATGCTCAAGCTTAGAATAGTTATTCTGTTCTCAAGGTTTTCTTCTCATTCATCTTCTTTTTCTTTCTGATTCAAAATTTTCCTGAAATTTCAATCCGGTGTTGGTTGGATGGAGGATAATTGTGGTCCCTGTTCTTCTATTAAATTCATAATGTCTGAAATTCCGTTGTTGCAGCTAATTTTGTATCTTAAGAAAGAAACTCATACCAACATAAGTTGCTTCGTATTTCAGAATCTTGCTCATTGTTGCTTGGAACGAATTAGGAGTTGAGTTATAAATGCTGGTATAAGTTTTACATTCTTATATATGATGGAACAGTCCGGTATTTAGGATTGAGTCGAGGTTCTCTACAGTTCTGAGTTCCCAAATAATTTTCTGCCATGTCTATCCTTGGTCCAATTTTTTTGAAAGTTAGTAATTCATGTCATCAATGAACTTTACTACTATCCAAACTGGTATCAGAGTGACATCACAGAGCTGACAGACAAGGCCCTGCCCACTCCAGGTGAGTCCTGAAATCAAAAAGTATGTGATCCCATCAGGTTGTATATGGGATCAAACACTGAAAACAAGACCACGCGAATCAAAATCCAGTCAGCCCTCCAGTTGGTCCTTGCTTCAGTAGAAATATGACATTGTTTTGCAAATCTCATGCTCTAGGGCATTTAGATGCAATGTTAATGTGGAAATTTCCTCTTCATTCAGACAAAGAAGGATGAGATGTTGCAGTACAAGTTGGAGCGAATCCCTTTCCTGGAGGAGCAGGTTAGGAAGATAAGGGAAGGAGGAAAGCTCTTGACAATGGACATCGAGCGACTGTTGCTATCGGAGGACAACAGGTTTGATTTTGTGAATGATGTAGCTGCTGAGGCCAAAGAATATGTTGAGAGTAATCGGGATGAATATGGAGGTACGAAAAAAGCTGTACTTCATGTGCTCAGTAACCGTGTCAATGATTCTGGCTTCCATCGTCCAGATGCATATGCTGAATCTGACCCTTTCAAGCCTGGACCTACTTATTTGAAGGAAGAATTTACGTAAGTTTTGTATATTAGTGTCTATTGTATTCAAGATTTTCTTGTAATTTCATTCCCTCGGATTTAATGCATTGGCAGTTCTTTGGAAACAATTAGTGGTGGATTGAATAAATATAATGTAATCTTTTGCAGAAATTCCTAATTCTTTTTGTAATTTAAATATAATTGGAGAGGGTCAACGTTAAATCTGGTTATAGTATTTCACTATTTTGGATTTTCATGGAAATGTAGTACTGCAATTTTGGAAAATGACTCGATCCACAGAGCTGAGTCAAGTGGGAATGAAAAGAGTAAATGATGTGTTCTCAGACCCTAAGCCCAACAATAACTTGGGCTTGGCGCAAGCCCAGATAGTGTGGCAATGCTGACCCAAGTCTTACTTGGCTCTTGTACTTGATGATTCAGACCTTTTACCTGTCTTTTTTTTTTTCGTTTTTTATAGACATTTAATGAAGTCATCTCCGTCTAGGCAAAGAAAAGGGCAAATAAGGATAAAAAAAGTTCCGGTGTCTGCAAGTCTCTTAAGCATCTTCTTAGTGGGTATTTGCCACGCTTTGAATTAAAGCTGTCATTTAAGCTGACGTGGCTTTATATGAACCGCAGAATATTCACTTAAAGTGTAGTGGGAAAGTCCGTAGAAGATCCTAGCTCACGTGGAATATAATCCGTTATATCAGTTAGAGGCCTAACTTCACTCTCTTATCTTCGAGGCCACCACAATCACAGAGAAGATTCTCATCCTTGCAAGCCGAAACTCGAAACTCCAACTCATCCCTTTGACTCAGAGGTTCAACTCACTGAGTCAACCAGAGGCTATGGCGTTATCGAGTCCACAGTTACAGAGATTCCTCTCAACCGACTTCAATTTCACCTCCAACGCCAAATCAGCCAACAAGAACCACCGAACGACGACAACTAACGTCAAAGCCAGAAGCCCCTGCCGTTGCCCTGCAATTGCAATTGATGCTCCTTCTTCGCTAACGGACGTCGCGGGGATCCGATGGGGATCCACGAGCGTGCAGGGCAGACGCGAAGAGATGGAGGACGATTTAGTCATACGATCGGACGGCCTTGACGGATTCTCGTTCGCTGCTGTCTTTGATGGCCACGGTGGCGTATCTTCCGTCAAGTTCCTCAGGTACGATAAATATTAAATGCAAATGACTAGCAATATTTACTTCATTCCATAAACTTTTTGCATAGTTTATAGCGATTTAATTTTATAGCAAGAGATGGTTCTGATGAACGCAGGGATGAGCTGTATAAAGAGTGTGTTACCTCTTTACAAGGCGGATTTCTGTTGAATGGAGGAGATTTTAATGCTATTAGGAAGGCGCTAACGAAGGCTTTTGAAAATGCTGATAAGAAATTGCTAAATTGGTGAGCCAAAAATGGATGCTTTGAACCCACAAATATTGACAAGTCTTTTAATCTGATTTTGTAGTCTTAATATGATTGTAGATTTTTGTATATTACTGGTTCAAGGTTTAGCTGGTGTTTCATTTTGTAAAGGCTTGAAACGACTGCAGAAGGTGATGATGAATCTGGTTCAACGGCCACTGTTATGTTAGTAGGAAATGAAGTGCTCTTCATTTCTCATGTTGGTGATTCCTGCGTGGTATGGATACCTATTCCTGGTTCCTTATATATATATATATATTGGAATCCTTAATTTACATATAAAAAGACTAAAATTTTTTAGTTTCTTGTATAATAGTAGCATTTTTGGGAATTAGACAGAACACCGCCTTTATTCTTTGAAAGGGTTATATCACTTTTCATTCTTTTTCTCAGTTGATACACTGATGCAGGTTCTATCTCGTGCTGGAAAAGTAGAAGTGTTGACTGATTCTCATCGACCATATGGAAGCAATGAGACCTCTTTACAAGAAATCAGAAGAATCAGAGAAGCAGGTGGATGGGTGTGTTTTTTCTGTTCTTGATTTTCTTTTCGGCACTTGCAATCTGATCTTTAATCCTTTCCGGTGCCAATGAGAGTTCTCACATCTTAAAATGTATAAAGACTTAGATCAAAAACTCCAGAGCCTCAGTGACGTTTGGTCTTACTCACTTCACACGGCTGATTATAAGTTTTTTCATGCAATGTCCATAGATTGTCAACGGAAGGATTTGTGGTGACATAGCTGTATCTCGTGCTTTTGGTGACACTCGATTCAAGACAAAGAAGAATGAGTTGGGTTCTTCTCCTGTCCTCATTTTAAAGAATTTTTCATGATAATTTGTACACGTTCTGTACATTGCACTGTGTGACTACATCATAATGTTAATGGCTTGGAATATTTTGCTCAGAATGCTGAAGAAGGGAGTTGAGGAAAGGAAATGGTCTGAAAAATTTATTTCTCGGTATATCTTCTGTGGATATCCTTTCCTAGTTTCATTTTCCTCCTTTTGTTGTGGGTTCATGCTTTACAAGTTAGTTTAATTAGATTAACATCTAGCTCTAGTGGTTTTCTATAATTAGGATAAGTCAGATAGCTGTTTGGTTTATTTCAAACATGTTTCAAGCTTACAAGATTGTTTGGCCTTCAATGTTTCTGCTCTTTCAGAATAGTGTTCAATGGAGACTTGGTCATTGCATCTCCAGACACTTTTAAAGTAGCTCTAGGGTCAGATGCAGAGTTTATCCTTTTGGCATCTGATGGGTTATGGGACTACATAAACAGGTATTTCAAGCTATGCTTTTAACTCTTGCTGCTGTACAGGCAGTTTCTTTTATATGAGTTTGCTGTATGTTCAATTGAGAGAATAATGTCACTCTTACATACCGACTATTTTCTTCTTTCAGCTCAGACGCAGTTGCTTTTGTTAGAAATCAACTACGAGAACATGGAAATGTTCAGGTACATTTTACACTCTACCATATATGACCGTGTCATATCTTTCCAATTCTGATCAGATCCATCAGCTTTCTGATGATATTCTTTCATTGGTTTAGTCATAACATTCCCCTTATTCCTGATTCAGGTAGCATGCGATGCACTTGCACAAGCCGCTCTGGTAATTAATAGTGATTTGTTTCTTTTGATTCATTTTAGTTATTTATGTTTGTACACAAGTTCCAGTAACCTTAGAATCTTATCATAACATGCAGGATCAAGGCTCTCAAGACAACATCAGCATTATCATTGCTGATTTAGGGTATGCAGTCGTTTTCACTAGTATGATTGCTGTTATGCTGTGCAGTTTAAGTTGAGCTAACGGATTATTTGAATCAACCTCTGCTGGAAAATTAATCGTAGCTTTTTTTTCTCATATTTTTTTATAGAACAAATTAATGGTTAGTCATACAGTATATAGTCTTAAATTAACCATTGCCAATACTTTTCCCCTTTGAAGGCTTATTGCACAGCCATTGGCTGAATGATATGAGCAGTTTATGATCTTCAAACCCAGAATGAACAGTCTATTGTCCTTGGTCTTAGTCGGTTATTGGAACTTTTATTTTCTTTTCTATTTTTGTCCTCGTAGTCTAAATATGCTTCTTTATAGTGAAAGCATTGTGTTCAATGACTTGTGTATTTCTTTTTCTGCATTACAAGATTTCATTGGGGAAAGAAAATAGGAACCGCAAAGAAATGACTAATAAGTCAAAAACTCTACGGGTCCTGCTTGTCTTTCAATTAAGTGCATCTGAGTTTTCTGTTTATGGCTTTTCATAATTCCCATTAAAGGATCACACACTCCCTCTCTTTAACCTTGGTTTCGCTTGCTTTGACCTTTGCACAGGCAGACCGACTGGCAGAGTTTGCCACTTGAGCAACAAAATATTCTATATGAGTTAGGCCAAGCTTTAGCTACAGTTGGGATTGTATCACTTGGAATATGGTTGTCATCTCAGGCTTTTTTTTGATATTGAGTGACCTGTTGTATATAGATCAACATAGATTTCACACTGTCTGTATAATGAAATTGTATATGATACTAGCACTTTTTGGTAAACTTGACCTAGGCATATTTAATAATTCTGAAAGAATACTATTCAGTTACTTGTCTTTCTGTGTATTGGTTTTGGAAATTCAGTAGTACTGACAGTTATTGCTGTGGAAACTTCTTTCCAGTTTATGTGTAAGCCATTCTTACCCCGTTCAGGTACAAGATCTACCTTAAGGCTTAAGCTATAGAAAAATTAAAGAGAAAAAGAAAAAGAAAAATCAAAAATTAAAAATTTTGCTATTGAAAATGAGGATAGAAAAATCATTACTCAAATGGGTTCTGATTTATGGTGGATGCCTGCCCGCCCAAGCACTACATATCAGCCTAAACAATGGTTTTTGAGGCGCATAATGAAGTCTAAAAGGCTCAGAAAAATACATATTGTTGACTTGAATTTCTGGAATTGAAGCTAGGCAGTCGAACATGCCATCATTAATAGGGAGAAACTTGGTAAGGTAGAACAAATTAGGATCTAATTTTATAAGTACTGTCCTTAATTTCTTTGTTTTCTTTTTGCTTTCCATGTATAGGAGAATTATTATATAGAAAATTGGAATTCATTTTTTTTTAAAAAAAAAATTAAGAATAAATAAATAAAATAAGATTAGATATTGGGATGTTGTTGCAATGATCCTTTGATTTAGCATTTTGGCCTACTAAATAATTGACCATTGATTCTACAAAAATTCCCATCCATTCGTAGATTTGGTGTATAATTTCACGACTTCATCATATGTGTTATCAATAATATAATCCCATCTTCAGAACACTATTCCTCGCATCTCATCTAGAGACTAAACATATATACCAATTATATTCATTCTGCCTTATTCCTTAATATTTCTTTTTTCTTTTTTTTTTTTTTTGGTTTTAGAGAAATAAGATGTAAGCACTATATACATGCATAGTTCTAAATTACTTCTCTGCATGGTGTCCTTTTTTTTTTTTTCAGAAAAATTTATTGATTAAATTATCTAATGAGGGACAACTCTTTCTTATTTACTTAATCAATCATTCACACATCAAAACTCAAATTTGTAAGATCTCGAACTTCCAATCCAAAAAAAAGAAAAAGAAAAAAAGGTAAACTGCAATTAATCACTGCCATTATAGACGTATACTTTCAATGTTAGGGTTTTAAGTAATTGCTATTTGGGGTAGCCAATAAGCACTGCTAATGGTGAAATTTGAAATCAATATATACACTTTTGATTTGTTTGCTTGTCTTGGATTTATGTATATATCTCATAAACAACTGATGAACAAAATACGAAAGCTTCATTATTTATTCTTAATATATGGCAGGCAATAGCCTGGGAAGTACAAACATAAAATCACATCCGCAGAATACAATGGCAATAACACAGTTTCAGAACATAATTATACTACACCCCCACTGAGTAGGGTTTGTACTCTTTTGTTACTACTCACTTAACTGATTTAATAACTCCATAATATATATTATGCCTTTCTATTGCTAGATGATCAAAACCTCTTAAAAAAGAGACAGTGAGTAGAGAGTTGCTCCTCCTTTTTCTTTTTTTTCTAGTTAATTCATGGTTTGATCAGGGCTTGCCAGGTTTTTTCCTTGGGTCATGCTTAGTATTGGCACCTGTATCATCATAATCCAGCATTGCACCCAGCATCAACAGCTTCCTGGATGGATTCATCTGGATCCCACCCTTGATAAAGAATTAAAATCAACAGCATTAGTTATCCCCAAAGATACAAGAACTCCCACATTTCGAAATACAACATAAATTTATACGTGCATTATTATTCGGCATTTGCAATTATTATCAAAGCTGACGGATTGTGGAGTACCTGATCAAGTGAGTATGTGGCCTGCATGCCATCCTGAAAGCCGGCAACGGTGCCTGCAATAGCAAGTCTGGTCAGTGACATGATGATGTTTGGGAAATTAATACAAGGTCTATTGCTGACATGCAGAATTAACAAGGAGAAGAATGTACACTTGATTAGAGTATTACCACAAGAGAAAGGCATGAGGAGCAAAGACAGCAAAAGGAAAGCCTTGAAGCAAAGAGCCATGGCTAGCTGCGTTTGCTAGGGAGGGAGGAGGATGTGATGAGTTTGCTGGAGAGGGGTTAAGGTTGGGGAGGGGAAGGTGTGCTTTTATTGTTGGTGTTTGGGGTAGGAAAATGTGGCACGGAGAGATAGCTGTTGTCGTGGTGCACCCCACCCAATAGCAACAGAATCATGATGAGTTGCATTACCCCTTCTTTTGCCCACAATCCCTAAAGTCAACTGCACTGTGTTCATATATATATATATTGTTACATCACACAAAATGCACAGAAAGCATTTGTGAAACTGATATGCATGTCGGACAAAGGGAACAATCCTTTGCATGGCTCAAACTATATCTATACCCATTTTCAGGTTGCCTTTTTTCTGGCTGTATTTCTCACCTTTTTCCCAACTCAATCCATCTCCACATTAATTTGCACTATCAATAATTAACCCCAAAATCATCTCTCTTTCTATTTATATATATATATATATATATATATATATTACCAATACTTTAAGCTTAGCCTCTCATTTGTTTCAACGGTGCACATTACTCAAATAAAATTTAACATTCCAAGTCTATCTTCTTGTTAAAATTACACTAACAAATGAATTCTATTCATTATGTGGATTTGATTTTCATTATATAATAATAATAATAATAATAACAATGTAGTGGGGGGACGGGGGAGGTCATAAAGGATTTGTAATTCCGTGGTACCAAACACCACTTTAATGAATAGTGGTTTTGATCCTCATGTTTCGGCTTTCATCACTTTCCAAGGCAATTAGATGCAGACAAACAGGTTAGTGGCCTACAGACGAAATCAAATGGAGAAAAGCATTTAGGATGTTGAATTTTGGCCAGAGCCATTAGCGGGAGCACTATCAAAAGGATAAAACAAAGGAAGGGGATGGGGGACAACACAACACTTTGAACTCCCAACACTAATTTTAATTTAATCGTTTATTAACATTAAACTAAAGTGTAATTAATCATCTTTAAGGAGACCATATGCTGGCAAAATGATGCTTTCTTAAACCCAAATTGATTGACTAATTAATAAAACCTCCATTTCAAAGTCGTCGACAAGGAATTAAAATGACCGTGTATTCTTTTTAATATGTAAATATATAGATAAAGATAATTACCAATAAACATGCATAAAATGATATATGTAGCATACACGTAAGTATTTAATTTATTAATTAGTACATGTTTTTCTACTTAAAGAGTATGATTTGAATCTTCATTCTTTTGATTAAAAATATATATGATGTATGTAATATACTTTGTGTTTTCAAAAAATAAAAATGACGGGTTTAATCTTAAATTTAGACTGAAAAATAAGAAAATTATTGCATATAATTGTGATATTTTTGAGAATTGAGGCAAGGGAAGCTGAATGATAAAATTAATGGTGGATATTCTCCAGTATCAAATGGTTCAACGATGGCAGGAATTGGTGAAGTCACTTACAAGAGTAGTACTGCTCAAAGTGGCATATGCTATTCATTTTGGATGCTTATTACAATATATCTTTTCCTTTTTTTTTTTTTTTAATGTTGGGTTACTCTCTGATTTTTCCTCCATTACCCAATAGTTTGGGTTTTGGTTGCCTTGTACGGCCATGAAAGGTACTGATGAGAGACACGGAAGGATTTGCCCAAAAAAGAACAAAATTGAGACAACTCAATGCATCGCCACCCTCCCTCTCTGCCTAAATTTATTAGTTGGGGATGGTGGCGGTCATATCACAGTAGGCCACAGCACATTCTCTGAACTTCCTTTAAAGGGACATAACCTCCCATTTCCATCTCTTTTCCCATTAAACCTCTACCACCTGTTCGGATGCCACAACTTCGATCAATGTGAGTCAGGGCTTTCTCTGATATCTTTTTCTAATTAAAAAAAGTAAAAATAAATTTATATTATTTTTATTTGTACATAATACCATTAATTAATACATATCTTTCTCCTTTTCTTCCAAGCAAGCAATGCAAGTTGATCTTATTATTCGGTACAAATGTTGGTGAGAGTGGCAATGAAATCTATCTTCATTAGCTCATGCTGACATATTTGGCAACAAAAGCATGTACTAAATTCGATAAATTAATCATGATTTACAATTTCTTGGATCTTTCTAACCAATTGGAACTGCAATTTCTAGTCATAAACAAAAAGGCCTTTTGGGGGTTTGAAAGGTTATACATACCACGATAGCAACCTTTCTCTTTTCAAACCCCCATGTAATGTAAGACTAGATGGTGAAGATGTAATGTATCAAGGGCAGTAAAGTGCATCAACTTGTTCTCTTCGTAATAAAGATCATTTGGGTTTTTTCCTTTTTTATCTTTTTCTAACTTCTTAATGAAGTTCAGGCAGGTCTGATCATTACAAGGCCTGAGTAATACCAATATTGGTGAGTTTCATGTGATATTTTCACCTCATCTCCGGGCCTAGGTTACAAATCCCTCGTAAAAGATTTCTGCCCAAATTTAAAAGAGAAGCTTGTTTGCTAATGATCAGATTTTTAAGATTAACAGGATGTTGGAAGAAAATCTATCATGTGCGTGATAACGAATGGCTAGATGAACTCTCTAGACTACCAAATAAAGTTTTCTCAACTTTACAAAGCATTAGCTCTATATTGGTACTGGTCAGTTTGTTCTTATGAAGCTTGGAATTTGACCCAAGTCCCAGCAAAAGACAAAATAGTCAAAATCTTTGAATAGTTAGCACAGTTGGAGCCAACTTTGAGGTGGGATACAAGGGGTTTGAAGCAAATTAGTGGGATGAATGAGAAGTCATATCTCATTCACAGGGTAAAGTTACATTCTACAGAACCAGTCAAAGAGGGCGCACTTGAAGACTTGGTCAGCTTGTGAAATTTTCAATTTTCAGCCATTATAAAGAGCTCATCAGAAGAATAAGCATCGGTTCCACTGCGACCTTACTCTTTCCTAATCCATGAATCACAAAAGCCAGCCAACAAACAAAACCCCCATAGGTTGCCTTTTAGGAATATTCTCACTTGGAGTCATTGGGAAAAAACCATTAATGTAAAGCAAAAAGGCAAACCCAGAATTATCTCATTCGGCCCTACAAATGTTAGCCCAATTTGTGATTTACAATCACCATGCTATGTATAAGCGATAATAACCAAAAATTCTATTATACAATCTGAAACAACGGGAACAAAATTGTATACCCAAAGGAAATGCAAAACAAATAATTTTATGAATGCATGATATCGAACAATTGACTCCAGACTTTTGCTAACAATTGAAATTTATAAAAAAAAAAAAAAAAAAAAACCCGACAACAACAACAATGCAATGCTGGATGTAATACTCCCAATAGCATGCTGTATGTGGTTAACTCCCGACCCCACCGAAACAAAATATACAAAGGCAGCAGAGGTGATTAATGCAACCCAGCCACTGACGTATAATACTAAAAATATGAGAGTTGAACAACAAAAAGAAGGGGGTAACACTCAGAACCAAAACAGGTGATGGAAGGACAATGGTGGAAATGCAGCACTTTGAGATGTCTTGAAGTGCTGCAGCATTTTGACCCAAATCATCAGTCATCCACTCCAACAACCTAAATTTAATTGGAGAAAACCACACCCAGGCAAAAATGATGTTTGTCTTGACAAATGGGGCGTAGAAACAGCAAGTGACCAAGCGAGGTGACTAGTCAGTCTTTCCTGAATGTCACAGTTATTGATCCCTCCCCTACTTCAATCTTTCAGGACCAACAGATATTCTCTCCCCCAGTTTCATGGAGACCTTCATCAGCTTCTCTGAAACCATCTTAATCCACTTCCTCCATGACAAAAAAAAAAAAATGGAATCTGACCCCATGATGATGATGATGATGATGATGCAAGAGTTAGTGACAACTTGAAGACCGATTACTTCTGTTGTCTGACAACGGCGATGACTTGACACATGCAATCCCAGACCCTCAACTCAACACACCCAAATGCATGGACTTCCAAAAGAAAATAAACATGCTGAATGGCAACACCCTCAAACAGAAATGGCACGACTAATGGCCAACTTGGCCCATTCAGCAGATTCTTTAATCATAAGGTCTTCAGAAGACAAGCATTCATTTAAAAAGTCTTTGCTTGAGGGGGATTGCTGTATCAGAGAACCAGCATGACTTCCCAATGTATCAGCTAGATCTCCAAGGACTCCAATGGCTGTCTTCATAACCACATCATCCCTATAGGCAAACAAGTAACATAGAAAAATGTTATTAACCATACATCAATCGACATGTCATGCAATAAAGCAAAAGCCTAAAAGAGTAACTTTCAGTAGAACTCACATGTCTTTCTCAACGTATATGCTATCCAAGAACTGAAGGATGTGAGGTGCATAGGGAATCAAGAGCTGGGTTTTTGGAGAGTTCTTAAACCCTTGGAAAACCCCAGAATATGCCTCCAGAATTCCATTTCTCAGTGAATTTGTGTACTCTGTCAATTCATCATCACCTGCCGTATGGGTAGACAACTCTGCTGCACTCTGAAGCGCAGACATGGCCCACATTAAGTACTTTTCGAAATACTCCCCTACAGCCAATGCAATGTCGCCGAAGCATGAAAATATGGGAGGTTTCACAGAGCGATGTAACTGGTTGCTTGATAAATTCTTGAGAAGTTGTGTCATAATCCCATCACAGTAAGGCACAATTTTTTCTTCTATTGCCCTGGAAATATCACCAACAACACCAACTGTGACAGCACAGACTTGGTACTCTTCAAAATTCTGAAGACCCATCTCCAAGTACCTATAAAACTCTGGCATATACTTTGCAAAATCTGGTCCTGTTGCATAAGCAAGGGCTCCAATGGCCAGCATGGCCTCCTCATGTACCGTTGCACTCCTACAAGCAAAAACCCTGAGGAAAAGCCCCATTATCTGATCTGCATACTGCATGAACACATACTTGGTTGGTTCTAATGAACCAAGCTTCTGAATGATGACCTGTAAACACCCACAAAGAAGGCCTTGCAATTCACTCTGCTTCTCTCTTTCATCAGACGACAGTTTCTGCCCCTCAAGAGTGTTATGAAGCTCCATCATGATGACAGGCACCAATTGCAACACCAATGGAGCTGTCTCATCAGTTGAACACCTCACCACTTCATTCAATGTCTCATACGCAGCAGTCCTCAGCCGGGACTCCCCAGCATCTTCTCGGTGAGTAACAGTGAGAAGGGACTGGACAATTTCCTGGAAAAAAGGAGTTAAAGGAGATGATGGACCCACTTCCTCATAACCTTGAGCAAGAAAATAAAGAGCACCACAGGCTTTCTCAGCAACATTTGGAGTGTCCTTCATACTCTGTAGCAGAACTGTGACTATCTGTTGGCAATTTGCCTGAGTGATGATAGGTGAATCTACAGCTGAACCATGAAGGAATTCAAAGATCCGTCCAAGGGCCCAGGCAGTAGTGTCTTTGACATGGCTATTGGGGTCCTTTGTCAAAGCACTGAGCATGAAGTTTAAGGCAACATTAACAAGAGGTATTAACTTTTCAGGGGAAGGGCCCTCCAAGATTGAACCAAAGGCATAAGTTGCCGCCTCCCTCTGCCTCCAATCTGGTTTTGTTATATTCTCCTCAATAAATGGCACAACAAGAGGGACAATATAATTTCCATTTTTTAAATTCAAACTAACGGTTCCAGCATGCAATTCAAGCCCTCATCCTGATCCTGATCCTCTTTGCTTCAAGAGCGTCTCCAACAGCATAGGAAAGAACAGGGAGTGCCTGCTTGATAAAGTAAAAGCAAGGAATATCAGAGTCCCCAGTGAATCACCTCCATATCTTCAAAATATCTATCTTATCAATAGTGAACTCCAGAACTCAATGGCTTGAAGTGAGACAGGTTCCTCATCTTCTCTCACAGCCTTTGCCGTGATGTTAAAAATATCCTGGATATAAGGAGCTAGTTTCTCATAGTAAGTGGATGAAATGGAAACCAAACACTCAAAAGCTGCCTGCCTTATCCTCACTTCTGGGGATAGTGTTCCCTCACAGACAACTCTCATTATATAATCACGCTCCATGTCATTGCTGAAATTTTTCATAATAATCTGTATATGTTGTGTTCATTAGTATGTCTGCATCATAATGATAATGGTTTGGGATGTTTTGGTCAAAATGCCAACCAAGGGAGTCGAGGAAAGGAGATTTCTTGATATACCCTCTATGACTTCTTTCTTTGAATATATCTTCTATGAATTGAATCCTTTTTTTACTTTTATATTCCTTTCAAGCTCCACATTATACCCTAATTCATTGTCCTATGGACCAAATACCACTTTATAATTTTAAACTGGAACAGAACTAAGACTTACAAGAAAAGGAGTAAGAAAAGCAACTTCATTCCTTGAAGGGAAATGCAAGGCAAGAGCCACAGCCCAATCAATTTAATCAAAGCTACAGAAATTCTAAAAATGAAGCAAAAGGCAACCGCCTATTTTAGAATTTAATCAAGAATACATTGCCTCATTCAGCCTTTCATGTCAAGCCCACATTTTGATATAGTATCACTTTCTATAAGCACTGACAACCAAAATAAAATTATACAATCTTAACTCTGAAGCAACGCGAAAAAAAATTGTATGATAGAAGGAAACAGAAAACAGATAATTTATGAATGCATGATATTGAACAATTGACTCAAGACTTTCTACAAAATGAAATTAGAGTAAAAACAGAGAAGAAAAAAGGAACAACAATAATGCAATGCAGATGAAATGATCCCAATAGCATATGCAGTATGTGGTTAACCCCCGACCCCACTGAAACAAATATACAACCGAAGCAGCGGAGAATAAATGACAACCAACCACTTGTGTATACTTAAGAAATATGCTGACTTGAACTACAAAAAGAAGCGGGTGAGGAACGCTTAGAACCAAAACTAGGTGATGGAAGGCCAACGGTGAAATGCAGCACTTGAGATATCTTGAGGTGCTGCAGCACTTTGAACCAAATCCTCAGTCATCCACTCCAACAACCTAAATTTACATGGAGAAAACCACACCAAGGAATATAATACCTTGAACTACAGCAGTAAGTATTTTATTTACTTGATCTTGATCAATAACATCAGGTGAGACCTCCTCACACATATACCCAAGAGTCTCTAAAGTGGCTTGCTTAGCATGAGCTGGTAGCTGATGAACATTTGATAAGAGCAAACTTATCAACTCAGGCCACTGTTTCTGTGGCAACTCAATGCCAGCAACCTTGGCAATAACTTGAGATGCAGTTGACCGAGCATCAGATATTGGAGAAGACAGAGTCTTCAGTAAGCATGCCTTAATCTGGCTCTTTGCATTGGCGTCCAATGACAACCATCTTTGAACCAGCTCAAACTTCCTGTGCTGTTCCTTAGCATCCAACGCATTCTTAAGTATCAAACCCGCTAATTTACGTGTTTCAACAGGCTTCTCCTCATTTGCCAACTCCACAGAAAGTGACAGCAAGAAACCAGGAAGGTTCTGCTCCTGGAACTGTTTCAAGCTTTCTTCAGCAGTCTTGCGCACAGCTCCATCTATAGATTGTGCATTTAAAAGCACCTGCGTAACTTCCATCGCCCTAATATTTTGAAAGGAATCAATAATTAAAACAATTAGATACACAAATTCAATAAATAAAGTAGCATATATATTCCAACACCTTGATTCTGAAAACGCATCCAACCTAAAGGAAAACCCAAACCCTTAAATTTGTTGAAGAAGAGTAAAGGACAGTAACAAGAATAAATCAAATGCAGCGATTACATCAAATTGATTCATCAAAACGCTACTGTCAGCTCTACATACATACTTGGTAGCTGATAGGATCACTCAAATATTCAGCATCAATTGTGCCAATTTGACATTAAAACCTTACACTTCAAAATTAGGCAAGTAAAATCAAACAAAAATCCCAGATCATAATAGATTTAAAATAAATCCAATAATACTTAGAAATTCTATCGCTCAAATCTTTCCCAAAAAAGGAAAATCTAATCCTCTAACTAGTACTACAAATAAACAACACCCTAAGATTAAAAAACGAAAAAGGAGAGCAGATCAATGCATTGAATATCGAATAACCAAATCACTACCCAAAACCCTAATTACCAGCAGAAATGAAACTTTAAGAGGGGAATTCGACAAAATTACCTTAAAATTCACGAAATTCGATGCAGATTTGACTTTCCACCGATCGGTGAAGGCCGAAAGGGGCTGAGTAGAACCCTAGTATTTGGAGAGAGAAAATGAAAAAGGAAAAGGAAAAAGAAGAATAAGAAAAAGATGGAGACGCGGATTCGAAGCTGGACTCAAGTAATTTATACAAATCTATATTTTTATATTATTTTTTAGGGGAAATGTTAACTGTACTACTTAACTGGATATTTATTAAAAAGCATTGCTTCTGCGACACTGTCTTCTTTTTTTTAAAAAAAAAAAAGAAGGTAAATTTGATGCAATAAATAATTTTTTTTTTTAAAAAAGAATAATTTAAGTAACTTCAAAGGTACTTGTAGCCATTTTCTCATTTTAACTTAAATTTTCAGGATTTTCTTTATTAAATTGTTCCAAAATTATGTACATTTTATTTTATTTTCAAACAATTACTGTGTTTCCAATATTTCACATTAATTTTAGTAGCTTTTTGTATTTGAATTTGAAAAAATAATTTATCAATGCTATAAAGTAAAAAATAATTTTGAATTTAGTATCTTTGGTATTATTTCTAATGAATGATTTAAAAACATATTTCATAAATTAATTAATATCATAATATTTAAAAATGTCGTCGTGTTGGTGACTAGAATGATTCTAAAAAGAAAAGACGAGACGCTTACAACACTTAACAAAACGGGTTCCGCAAGGTGTCTAAATGGGCCCACTTTTAATACTTTGTTTAATCTTGCATGGGGCAATTTGGTAGTAATTAAGATTTGATTATAGAAAAAAAGTCATCCTGCTTAACGGTTAAGATTGCTTTATAAGAACCTGCGTTGACATGAAAGTCTTCTCGGTCATCTTAAGCGGACCGTCCAAAGACGTTAGTAAAGTGTTTGGACTTGTACTTCGTAGCTATAGAGTTGGTTTCTGAAGCAGTTATACTTAATCATGGTAAGGCTACGTTCGGTTTCAACATTTGTTTCTTAAAAGGGAAAGAGTAGAATTAATGTGCAAAATCTAGTTGACAACATGCGCTTATTGTTTTCCTAGTAATTAATACCATTATTAAGACAGTTTTTAATTACGTGAATTACATTTTAGTGTACCGAGCGCTCTTCATTTCTTATGTTCGTGACTCCCTTGTATGGATTCCTCCTATTCCTAGTTTCTGAGTCTCCTATTAGCATTTTGGACATTTGACAAGTGATCTGCTCTCACTCAGGTCACACGGCTGAATGCTGATGGTTTAATGTTTTTTTCATGCAACTTCCTAAGATTCTTAAAAGAAGGGATTGTGTGTTTTTGGTGGCACTCAATTCAAGACAAAAAGGGAGATTGGTTCCTTCCTCGTCCTCATTTTGAATATATTTTTCATAATAATCTGTATATGTTGTGTTCATTAGTATGTCTGCATCATAATGATAATGGTTTGGGATGTTTTGGTCAAAATGCCAACCAAGGGAGTCGAGGAAAGGAGATTTCTTGATATACCCTCTATGACTTCTTTCTTTGAATATATCTTCTATGAATTGAATCCTTTTTTTACTTTTATATTCCTTTCAAGCTCCACATTATACCCTAATTCATTAGTCCTATGGACCAAATAAACCACTTTATAATTTTAAACTGGAACAGAACTAAGACTTACAAGAAAAGGAGTAAGAAAAGCAACTTCATTCCTTGAAGGGAAATGCAAGGCAAGAGCCACAGCCCAATCAATTTAATCAAAGCTACAGAAATTCTAAAATGAAGCAAAAAGGCAACCGCCCTATTTTAGAATTTAATCAAGAAATACATTGCCTCATTCAGCCCTTTTCATGTCAAGCCCACATTTTGATATAGTATCACTTTCTATAAGCACTGACAACCAAAAATAAAATTATACAATCTTAACTCTGAAGCAACGCGAAAAAAAATTGTATGATAGAAGGAAACAGAAAACAGATAATTTATGAATGCATGATATTGAACAATTGACTCAAGACTTTCTAACAAATGAAATTAGAGTAAAAAACAGAAGAAGAAAAAAGGAACAACAATAATGCAATGCAGGATGAAATGATCCCAATAGCATATGCAGTATGTGGTTAACCCCCGACCCCACTGAAACAAAATATACAACCGAAGCAGCGGAGAATAAATGCAACCCAACCACTTGTGTATACTTAAGAAATATGCTGACTTGAACTACAAAAAGAAGCGGGTGAGGAACGCTTAGAACCAAAACTAGGTGATGGAAGGCCAACGGTGAAATGCAGCACTTGAGATATCTTGAGGTGCTGCAGCACTTTGAACCAAATCCTCAGTCATCCACTCCAACAACCTAAATTTACATGGAGAAAACCACACCAAGGCAAAAATAATGTTTGTCTTGACACATGGGGCGTACAAACAGCAAGTGACCAAGCACCTGACTAGTCAGTCACTCCAGCTTGTCACAGTTACTGATCCCTCCTTACTTCAATCCTTCGGGACCAAAAGATATTCTCAACCACAATTCACGGAGGCGCTCATTAACTTCTCTGAAACCATCCCTATCCTCTTCCTCCACGACAAAAAATGGAATCTGACCCCCGGATAATGATGATGATGATGATGATGATGATGATGATGATGATGATTGATGATGATGCAAGAGTTAGTGACAACTTGAAGACCGATTACTTCTGTTGTCTGACAATGGCGATGACTTGACACATGCAATCCCAGACCCTCAACTCAACACACCCAAATGCATGGACTTCCAAGAGAAAATAAACATGCTGAATGGCAACACCTCAACTGAAATAGCACGGCTAATGGCCAACTTGGCCATTCAGCAGATTCTTTAATCATATGGTCCTCTGAAGACAAGCATTCATTTAAAAAGTCTTTGCTTGAGCGAGATTGCTGTATCAGAGAACCAGCATGATTTCCCAACGTATCAGCTAGATCTCCAAGGACACCAATGGCAGTTTTCATGACCACATCATCCCTATAGGCAAATACATAACATGAAAATTGTTAATAAAAACACATCAAAATTCAAATAACAAGCCACTCAGTAGAGTAAAAGCTTGAAAGAGCATCTTTTAGTAGAACTCACATGTCTTTCTCCATGTATATGCCATCCAAGAATTGGAGAATGTGAGGTGCATAGGGAATCAAGAGCTGAGTTTTTGGAGAGTTCTTAAACCCTTGGAAAATCCCAGAATATGCCTCAAGAATTCCATTTCTCAGGGAATTTGTGTACTCTGTCAATTCATCATCACCGGCTGTATGGGTAGACAACTCCGCTGCTCTCTGAAGCGCGGACATGGCCCACATTAAGTACTTTTCGAAATACTCTCCCACTGCCAATGCAATGTCACCAAAGCATGAAAATATGGGAGGCTTTACAGAACGATGCAACTGGTTGCTTGATAAATTCTTGAGAAGTTGTGTCATAATACCATCACAGTAAGGCACAATTTTTTCCTCCAATGCCCGGGAAATATCACCAACAACACCAACTGTGACAGCACAGACTTGATATTCTTCAAAATTCTGAAGACCCATTTCCAAGTACCTATAAAACTCTGGCATGTACTTTGCAAAATCTGGTCCTGTTGCATAAGCAAGGGCTCCAATGGCAAGCATGGCCTCCTCGTGTACAGTGGCACTCCTACAAGCAAAAACCCTAAGGAAAAGCCCCATTATCTGATCTGCATACTGCATGAACACATACTTGGTTGGTTCTAATGAACCAAGCTTCTGAATGATGACCTGTAAACACCCACAAAGAAGGCCTTGCAATTCACTCTGCTTCCTCTTTCATCAGACGACAGTTTCTGCCCCTCAAGAGTGTTATGAAGCTCCATCATGATGACAGGCACAATTGCAACACCAATGGAGCTGTCTCATCGGTTGAACACCTCACCACTTCATTCAGTGTCTCATAGGCAGCAGTCCTCAGCCGTGATTCCCCTGCATCTTCTCGGTGGGTGACAGTGAGAAGGGACTGGACAATTTCCTGGAAGAAAGGAGTTAAAGGAGATGATGGACCCACATCCTCATAACCTTGAGCAAGAAAGTAGAGAGCACCACAGGCTTTCTCAGCAACATTTGGAGTGTCCTTCATACTCTGAAGGAGCACAGTGACTATCTGCTGGCAATTTGCCTGAGTGATGATGGGTGAATCTACAGCTGAACCATGAAGGAATTCAAAGATTCGTCCAAGGGTCCAGGCAGTAGTGTCTTTGACATGGCTATTGGGGTCCTTTGTCAAAGCACTGAGCATGAAGTTTAAGGCAACATTAACAAGAGGTATTAACTTTTCAGGGGAAGGGCCCTCCAAGATTGAACCAAAGGCATAAGTTGCCGCCTCCCTCTGCCTCCAATCTGGTTTTGTTATATTCTCCTCAATAAATGGCACAACAAGAGGGACAATATCATCACCCACAGTCCGTGCAACCAACCCAAGACAGGTTCCCCCAGCCATTGCAATATTCCAAGCCCCTTCATCCTGATCCTGATCTTCCTCCTGCTTCAAGAGTGTCTCCAACAGCATAGGAACAAGCGCAGGGAGTGCTTGCTTGATAAAGTAAAAGCAAGGAATATCAGAATCCCCAGTGAACTCACCTCCATAATCTTCCAAAATATCTATCTCCTCATCACATATTGAACTCCAGAACTCAATGGCTTGAAGGGAGACAGGTTCCTCATCTTCCCTCACAGCCTTTGCTGTGATGCTAAAAATATCCTGGATATAAGGAGCTAGTTTCTCATAGTAAGTTGATGAAATGGAGACCAAACACTCAAAAGCTGCCTGCCTTATCCTCACTTCTGGGGACAGGGTTGCCTCACAGACGACTCTCATTATATAATCACGCTCCATGTCATTGCTGAAATTCGCCTGAGCAAATCCCAGAGCATTGTAAAGTGCTCTGGTAGCAGCAAGCCTCACATCAGTGTTTCCTTCTGATGCACTCATACCTTGAACTACAGCAGTAAGTATTTTATTTACTTGATCTTGATCAACAATGTCAGGCGAGACCTCCTCACACATATATCCAAGGGTCTCTAAAGTGGCTTGCTTAGCATGAGCTGGTAGCTGATGAATATTTGATAAAAGAGAACCTATCAACTCGGGCCACTGTTTCTGTGGCAACTCAATGCCAGCAACCTTGGCAATGACTTGAGATGCAGTTGATCGAGCATCACCTACAGCAGAAGAGAGAGTCTTTAACAAGCATGCCTTAATCTGGCTCTTCGCATTGGCGTCCAATGACAACCATCTTTGAACAAGCTCATATTTCCTGTGTTGTTCCTTAGCATCCAATGCATTCTTAAGTATCAAACCCGCCAATTTACGTGTTTCAACAGGCTTCTCCTCATTTGCCAACTCCCCAGAAAGTGACAGCAAGAAACCAGGAAGGTTCTGCTCCTGAAACTGTTTCAAGCTTTCCTCAGCATTCTTCCGCACAGCTCCATCTATTGATTGTGCATTCAAAAGCACCTGTGTAACTTCCATCGCCCTAATATTCCTGCAAGAACAATGACAGAAATTCAATAGGTAATACAATAAAGCTTAAATATTCCAACACCTAAATCCTGAAAACGCATAAAAGGTTAAACAAAAGGGAAAAAGGAAAAACTGTATTATGAGTAACATTATCTGAACTAAGGGCAAACTAACATGAAACCGAACCTTAAAATTCATCGAAAAAGTGTAAACAAAAGTAACAAGAATCAAACCAATATGCCGCAAATAAATCAAGTTGATCCATCCCTACTGTCATTTCTACTTAACAAACTAACCAACTGATAGGGAACACTTGAATATTTGGGATCAACGTACCAATTCGACATTAAAAACTTAAACTTCGAAATTTTGGCTCGTAAAAATTCAAACAAAAATCCTAGATCACATTAGATTTAAAGTAAATACAATAACACTTAGAAATTCGATTGCTCAAATCTTTCCAAAAAAAAATATAATACTCTAATTAGTACTACAAATAAACATAACCCTAAAATTATAAAACAAAAAAGAAAGCGGATCAATGCATCCAATATCGAATGCCCAAAATGACAATCCAAAACCCTAATTACAAACAAAAATGAAACCTTCAGAGAGGAGTTCGACAAGATCACCTTAAAATTCAGGAAATTTGATGCAGACTTCACCTTTCACCGATCGAGAAGATCGAAAGCGGCTGAGCTGAACAAAACCCTAATAACTGAAGATAGGAAATGAAAAAGAAAAAAAAAAGGAAACGGAGCAAGAGGAGAAGGAGAAGCGGATTTGAAGCTGGAATAGAATAATTTATACCAAATCTATATTTTAAATCATTTTTTAAATAGTACATTGGTAGTATTAATTCCTTTGGCTGTTATTGGCTAGTACGCGTTCCACAGGGTGTCAAAGTGGACCCACCTAAAAAGTTGACCGGCCTTTACACCGGGGCAATTTGGTAATTAGGATTTGCTAATGAAGAAAAGTCAGCCTACTTAACTGTAAGGTGGCTTTATAAGAAACCAAGTTGACATCTGTCATCACGATCGTACGGTTAAAAAGTTTAATAATTGTACAGTTTGTTTTTGTTACTTCAGCAGAACAAGCAGCCTAATGTCCATTTATGGTTCAACTTTTTCTTAAAAAGATTTAAAAAAAACAAATGAATTAATGCGCCAAAATCTAGTTGATAATGTGGGTCTTTTTTCTTTTTATTTCTAGTAATACCATTATTAAGACAGATTTTCAGAAATTAAGTTAAATGAATATGATTAAAAAAACATGAGTTTTTTATTTAATGAACATGTGTCAAATTTCATCTTAATTATTGAAGCTTGTTTGATGAAAATTTTCTTTTGCTTGGAATGATAGCAAAGATAGATAAAAATTAAAATTCATCGATTTATTTTAATCGGTATTCATATATAGATCTAATAAATTTGTATGTGACATGAATACAATACAAAATTAAATAGATTTAGGTTTAAGATAATTATGTTTCATATTTTAATTGTATCTTGTGTCTCATATGTGTCAAATCCGTTTAATCCATTTAAGATATGTTTAATTAATTGTGTTATTATATATTTCTATAACTTATTGCCCATTTCATTAATCATGTATATGTGCCTATTGACACATTTATAACCCAATTATCACCCATTTAAATCTCATATAAATATTTTTGTTATTAATATTGATGATGATAGTGGTAGATTTTTATTATACTTGATGAATATTATTGTTTTATTAGTCTTTTTTATGATTATTAATTTTAAATTTGACTAATGAAATTACATTTCATTTATAAGTATATGCATTTTAATTTAATTGTGTTTAAAATTTTAATCATATTAATCATTCAAACAAGTTACAAATCATGTCATTTCATATAGAATTTATTTCATTCCAATTAATAAAGATGTTAAACATGTTATACTATATTTCATGTTTAATAAATGTATTTGTATTAATATTTAAGATTTTGACAATTTTAATTGACAACATATTTGTATTTACTTATATAATTATTAATATTTTATATTTTCATAACATGGTTAAGACACATGAACTTCAAAGAAGCCTTAAAAAAAGAGAGAAAAGAAAAATATTGGTCAAAGGAAGATGAAGTGACAAATTAATACAAAAGCTTATGCTCCATTTCTGCCTTGTTCCGTTGTCTATTTACAGAAACACAGGCAAAAATTATTGGACTTGGTTTTCTTTTATCATGTGCTGGGAATGGGATGGGATGTCATATAACCCAAATCCAAAGCATTGCATGAATCAGGTTTCTAGAGACTAGAGTTCGTCATGGTCATCATCAAAGTCGTCGTTGTCGATGCTGTCATCATAGAGTGAGTTGTAGAATACGCTCTCGTGATTGAGAATCTCTTCCATGGTCAAATTCCCATCTTTGTTATCATCAGCCTGGAGTCAAAACAAAATTCAGAATCCCATGGAGTATTTTACAAATTCAAACAATATCATTAAACTATTATTAATTGACTTCACCTCGTAAATCAGATAACTGGTGTAGTACTTGGCGTAGAACAGTTCACCAGGGTAGAGATAACAGAGTATGGGTCTCAATTCATCCAGCTCCAGGTATCTGCAAAAGGGCTCAAAGTTGTATAGATGGTTATAAGTTTGTAGGATCAGTACCAGTTATTGGAAGAGAAAATAGAAATTACTTGTCTTTGTTGATATCTAGCTCTACGAATTTGTCTTCAGCTGAGGGTGCAAGAGCAGCAGCAGTCTCGAATTCAGCATAGCTTTTGTAAATGTTGTATGCGTAATCGAGAAATTCCTTGAAGTTGAGTTTGCCATCGTGATCATCGTCCATCCGTCTGCCCAATCAGGGAAAATCATCATAATTTTATCCAGCGCAAGCAAATGATAGAAACAGAGAAAATGTGAGGAAACTAACTTCATTTTTTCTCTCAACAGCCATTTCTGAATTTCCTCGTTGTCACTGTCTTCTGGATGTAAGAAACTGTAGGGAAAAAAAAATTGGGTAAAACTGATCGATATAGCTTTGCGGTATTGACCAAAGAAGCCCACACTTCCAACCCAAAAAAGGAAAAGTTGAGAAAAACCGAAAGAAAGTATTTACTCTTTGAATTCGTTGAAGTCAAGAGTCCCATTGGAATTCAGGTCTGCATTGTTAAATTGCTCCATCCACCATCCAGCTTCACCGTGCCCTTTTCTATTTTTTGCTGTTCCACATTCAACTTTTGTCAATTCATATGCAAAGAAGTCTTATTGTTGCATCTATTTGGCTATAATTAAGGAAACAGGGAAAAGTTTTTATCAATTACATTAAACATTTGAGCCCAGATATAGCCACAGATTTCAAATTTTCTTTCCTTACCTATATCATTCTCGTTAAAATGAGGCAGATACTCGCTGAAGCTGATAGCTCCATCCCCATTTTTGTCGTGCCATGACATGACTTTGTTGGTTCTAAAACTCAAACGATCGATGGCTTGTTGCCCAATCCAAGCCCCTAGCTCCTTGGCACTGATTAAACCATCTTTCGGTGCATTGTCTAGCAGAGGGAACAAAATCATCAACCGCAGAGTGGTGTTTAAAGCTCCGTCGTCGTCGAAGAACTCGTGGGCGTCTGCAACCTCAGGAACGTAAGAAATGTGTTCCGGATCAACGTGATAGCTCAATCCTTTTTGTTCCGCCGATCTCTCGATTCTTGCGACCAGAGGGTCAAAATGGGGAACTTTGTAGCCAAGGCGCCGACTCAGGCCTGAACGGGTATGATGACCATGCTGTTTGTTTTGGGAGAACACGAATAAAATGATGAAGGCGGTGGCCAGAAGGGTGCAAACCACCGCCTTCGCCATTTAATGGCTGCAAAAGGGATTAGGGATGGGTGGAAAATGGTAGCATAAACAATGCCGGGAAAGTTCAATGAAGTTAGATAATGATTTTCCCCTGTCCCTTTCTTTTTTTTTTCTTTTATTTTCATTATCCATTGAAGTCAATGAACATGGGGTGGCGGGAAAAACGGTTTTTGGCGGTTAGAATCGAGGGGCATATACATAAAGCACTCAAATTAGGGGGGGGGTTAAATTTAATTCAGAGATTTGGGTTTTCTTTGATTTGTTAGGCTTTTTAATTTTTATTTGTTTCCAGAAGCCAAAAGGAGAAAGTTAAGACAGGTTATGGTAATTCTTGCATATTTCATAAAATCTTCAATGTTTTAATCTGTGTAACACTTTTGACATTAACGGCCAAGATTATCCCAACACAAGGCTTGTTCTGATCGGATTACACTACCACCAATGAGCTTTATTGGTACACGTCATCATGAATGACAAGTTCCAATGTCCGAGGTTTGAGCACAAACAACCCGATAGTTACGGTGTAAGCTACCATGTAAACCTCAGTTAACGACCAATGTCTTTGGAGTCTAGTTTATCGAAGATACATTTCTCATTAATTATTACTCGGAAGCAAGCGAACAAAGAAGAAAGAAGAAAATCGTGGAGCTTCTTCACTTGGCTCACTATTGCAAATTAAAGAGGAGGCCACCAAGTTCGGGAATAGTAATTGGGACAGACCTTGGCGCGACTTATTCTTGTGTTGGTGTGCACAGAAATGGTCATGTTGAGATCATAGCCAATGACCAGGGTAACAGAATTACCCCTTGGTGGGTGGCATGCATTATACTGACAGTGAGAGATTGATTGATCGGTGAGCCAGCAAATAATCAGGAGGCTGTCAATCCTGAGAGGACCGTCTTCGACGTCAAAAGACTTAATGGAAGAAAGTGAATATTCTCAGTTGATAATGTTTCATATAAATAGGATTTGTGCATCAAATAGGTGAATGGCGTTTTTGGCTGATTTTATAACAAAGGGGTTCAGAAGGAAAGCTTGTAGCATACAAGATTGTTAACAAGGATGGGAAGCCTGGTATCCAAGTGAAAATTAAGAATGAGGAAACCAATGTCTTCAGCCCTGAAGAGATAAGTGCATCGTTTCTTATAAATATGAAGGAAAGAGCAGAGTCATTTCTTGGAAAGAAAATAGAAGATGCCGTCGTCACGGCTTCAAATAACATTCTTTTTTATATGTAGAAGTCAGATCTTGTTGACTTACAAGGTAAACTATGGTTTATGTTCCTGAAGGTTGACTTGAATTTGCATGTATAAATGTCAGCAGCTTACTTCAATGACGCACAAGGGCAAGCAGCAAAAAGATTCCGGTACACGATTGCTGCACTGAATGTTGCTAGAATAATCAATGAACCAACTGCAGCAGCCATTGCCTATGGTTTGGACAAAAAGGGTGGTGAAAAGAACATTCTTGTCTTTGACCTTGGCGGTGAAACATTTGATAATGATGCTTTTGAAGCACTTACCACAAATGGAGATACCCATTTGGGAGGCAAGCTTCTTGCTGGTTACGACGTTGCTTCGGCTGTTAACCTCTCAGTTGAAAATTCGACAAAGAATCATGACTAATGCAGACTAATATTTTCTTCAGGAGAGGATTTTGATCAGAGAATCATGGAATACTTCATTAAATTGATCAAGAAAAAATAAGCATGGTTCAGGAAGCAGAGCAGTTTGCCGAGGAAGACAAGAAGGTGAAAGCGAAGATCGATGCCAGAACAGCTTGGAGAACTATGTTCACAATATGAAGAACCACATCAATGACTAAGACAGGCTTGCTGAGTCTGAAGAGGAGGAGAAGATGGATTCAGCAATTAAAGACGCCCTGGAGTGGTTGGATGACAAGCTGAATGCAGAAGAGGGGGACTTTGCTGAGACGCTGGAAGAGGGGTGGTTGTCAAGAGTAGAGAGACGGGGAAAAGGGAAAGGATTGCTCCCCTGTATGCTTCCAATTTCATATGTTCAATTTTTGGTGCAGAAGTGAAAATGACAAGTGTTGCTTTGAACAATATAAGATTTCTATATGCTAGTTTTGGGAATCCATTCCCATTGTTATTGTTGCATGCCACCTATTTCCTACATCATTCACACACGGAAAGGAGAGAGATTTGCGAGAGGATTTCGACGGAATTTCGGTGAACTACGGCTTGTATTGTAGTGGAAGGGTTCTCCTCAAATTCGACCTTCCTACGAATTTTTTTTATTCTTTCCGTCTAAAACTAAGCTTCCAACTCATAATTGATTGTAAAGAAAATGATTTTAATTATACTTACCTTTGGTATGTTACATTTTTTAAAATGTAATTTTATCATCTACATCACATCACAGTATCATAAATCATGAAATTATTATTTTCGAAAAAAAATGATTAGATAATTTTGTTGTTTTAAGAAAAAATAAAAATAAATTTTGATATAAAATTAATTTTTAAGTTTTTTTCACTTCTCAAGTCTTGAGTATTAGATTTTGAAATCGAGCTTAACTCAAATTAAATTATTTTATTAATAAATAATATATTTTAATTTATTTTAATTTTTAAATACATATATAAATTATAAATATAAATAATATTTTTATTCTTTTCATATAATAATAATAATAATAATTAAATAAACAAGTCATAAACTTGACTCAATTTTCGAACATCTTTTGACACAAGTATATTAAATTTATAGTTTTATACATAAAATCATTTTAATAATAAATAATTTATTTAAATTTTTAAATATATTTTTAAAATATTAATATATAATACTATGTTTATTATCTAATAATAAAATAATAATTAAATGAGTGAATCAAATTAGACTAAAACTTGATAACTTTAAGAAAAATCATATGAACCCAACTCAATCCGCCAATGAACAACGCTTAACATGTCCATGTATTAAACTTTAGTTTTGATATTTAAACATAATTTTAAGAATTAAAACCATATTTTCCATAAAATAATTGTAAATCAAATATTAAAATATTATATTTTTAAAATGTTAATCTCAAACTTTTCATTTATACCAATCTTGATAATATTAAAACACCAAACACCACCTTAAGGAGCTGCCCATCTGTCCAGCCGAAGAAGCAGAGTTTTGTTATTGGTTACACATGTTCTTCGTACATCTAAAATCTCAACTACCACCAACAACCAATTAGGTTCACTGCTCGTAACCCCCACACCATCCACGACATAACAGTATATATAATAAAACTCTGCTCAAACCCTTTGAAGGGAGACATCCGTGTTGTCACTAGTCCGCATACCATGCTCTCAAACTTTAACTAGATCACTAACTGGCGATGTAGTCACATGAAAGAACAAACCTCTCTCTGTCTTACCACCTTCCAACACAAATTAGCACCTTTTTGACGCTGGTAACTTCACACTCCCAAGGAGCTCAATAACAAAGCATTGGCTACCGTCTGAGTCAATGCAATAATAATAATAAAAGAAAGCATTTGAATTCCATCTCATTGGCTAAACTCACCTTCGTATTCTCTTCAATATAATTAGGGAGAAAGAGGGAGCAGTAATAAGGGAGATGAGGGCAAAAAATGAACAACATAGTGCCCCACTTTAGCATATAACTATGGAAAAAGAACAAAAGGTTGTTTATAGCCATATACATCCATGAGTAATTTGTCAAGAACTATTTTAACTGAAAGCAAACTCAGAATAACCCATAGGTCAATCCGCTTTGCCTGCACATTGCAACCAAGGCCAATCCAACGCACACAGGTCAACTGGAGAGTTGCCATCATCGTCCTCCATGTCTTTGTCTGCATTTTGTTTCACAAGAAATGCAGCAATGTCTTCCCTCTCACACACAACAGCGTAATGCAAGGGGGTTTGGCCTTCATTGTCCTTCCAATAGAAAACTAAAGACTTTAACAACACTGATGACAACACCAGAAACAGAGAGAATAATATATGAAGAATATTGTGCGCCATTGAACAGGTCTAAGCTGATGCATGAACCACCCAAAACTCCTTTTTCTCATTTACTTCAGTACTCTATTGAAACATAAAACATTGCAAAGACAAATATTTCATAAATTTTTTTATGCATTACAGGTCCATCAAGACAATTATGAATAGTTTCAGCAAGCAGAAAAATATCAGGGAGTAAAAACCATTTAATTGCGACAGCAACAACAATAACTACCTTAGCATTCACATCAGCATTCCTGCTAACAAGTGCTTCCGTAATTTTAAGATGGCCACGGTCTACAGCCCAATGCAATGCAGTCCTGCCTTCACTATCTGCATGCATCATAAGCAGAGAGCTTAGAAGGTTATGCAAGTCTTTCAAATTCCTGGTATGCAAGTCTAGCTCTTTCTTTAAAGGGGAAAAAACAGCTTCATAGAAACAAACCTCGCAAATTCACAGAAACATCACTTTCAATGCATTTAAGCAAATTATCCAGTTCTCCTTCTCTAGCAAAAGCATGAATAGCATCCATTTTCCTGAAAAATAATAATCCTTTAGCATTCCATCAAAATTCATAGTTACTAAAGAACAATACCCTCTGATCTGAAGGAAGGGTAAAGAATTTTTGGAGAAGGAAAGTTTAATTCATTAATGAATCACTTATAAATATGCACTCCTTTGTCTACCAGGAACCATTTCATAGTCCAAAAAAGCACAACCATATCAACAACCAGCAGATAGTGACCTACACTATACCTAAGGCATCATAAACGAAAAAGTAATGTCAATGCTTGTGAAAGAGATTTAGAATTCCCTACAAACAGCAAAAGATGAACCCATAACGCACAGAACAAACAGTAAAATATAACTATCTGACTTATGCTCAAAATCAGACTTAAAAACATAAATCCTGGAAGGGGCACATTCCTTTTTTGTAGTCCATAGTTAAATGACTTTTGACTGTGCAAGGTTCCATAATTATATTGTATTGGATAGGAAGATGATAAGTAGAACCACAACATAGTATAAAAATAAGAGAATTTTACTATCATGAGTAAAAAAGTAAACATGCTTAATTATACCTCAAGAAAGGAAGAATTTTTTCTATTCAAATTTACATAGGACTCTTGCATGTTTAAAACTGATTACTCCATCACAAACAACGGTAACTTCAAAGACCTACATAAGTTTGCTCAAGCAAATATCAGATACCTATAAGATAAATCATCAACCAAACAAATAAATTCAAGCCTGATTGCATATATACAACTAAAGGTCCAGTTCACATCGAAATGTACCCAAAAACAATTCAATTGGTATTCTCCTAACTTGTTAACCTCAGTGAGACATAAATAGACCTAATAAATAGCATTTAGAAAGACCCATATGATGGAAGTTCTAAGAACCTTACAACTCATTTCCAGATTCCTCTTCATACACAAAAGAGCTGAAAACTGGTCCCATTGGTCCTTTGGCATCTCTACTTGCAGCATTTTCAGCCCCACCTTTGCTCTTCTAGGAACAAAGGTTGATAAAGCAGTATATCAGCAACACAAAAAAAAAAAGAGTAGATAATAAAACAGTACCAAAGAAACGGCAAGATAGCAACAGAAAAGAATAATATTGCACCATAGCTGAACCAGCAGCCCAAGTTGGATATAGCTCTGTAACGATGTCAATGTATTTCTGCATTGCTTCTTCTGGAGGCATAGCACCCAATTTGTGCCATGCTTGCCTAACAAAAATATGATATCCAAATTCAAATATTAGGAATGTAAATTCTCAAGCAATTTGCAATCATTTAGGTGTTGAATTACGTAGTAGAAACAATTCTCAAGCTAAATGGCAGTGCCTCACAATGTGGGAGTAATCAAAGAAGAGAAAAAAAGGACAAGCAAACTTTGCCGATTGAATGAGAAAACATGTCAATTATCATCCATCACCAACTTTACCCAAATGTCTACTGACAATAAGTGCTTCAAAAAATCAAGCTGAACTTCGAATCGTAAAAGGGAAAAAGAATACACTTCGCAGAACCAAGTGAAAACTTTTATCAAAGAATCTGTTGCTGCCAGCGAAGTAAAGTAAATTATACTCAGCAAGCTCATCTGTAGTATTCACATTTCCCAAAATAAGAAACAGCCCACCCACAAACCAACAAGAAATAGACGAAGATTTTAGAAAAGAAAAAAAAAATAGAAAACGCCAATAAGCACCGCCTTACCACTTAGCACGAGCTGTCATTTTCAAAGCAGAAGGCTGAGGAGCAGTGCAAGGCCCTTCAGTGGCAATCTTATACAAACCGTAAAGCTGCAACTGCACCTCACTCGACACCTTCTGCGACAACCGATCCGCCGCTGCCGCCGCCACGAACGCCGTCGCTGCACTAAACGCCTCATCCAGCTCCGTACACTCCACCCCTTCCCAATCGTCGTCGTCGTCATCATCACCATCGTTATCACCACCATCACTCTCGTTCCTAACACTTCCCACTTCGGCGATCACCGAATCCGCCTCGTGCGGTCCCCCGACGTCAGTGCGGACATGCGGGTCGGATTCGGAACCCGACTCGAGTTTGTTGTGGGTTTGGACATGTGCGGTTCGGGCTCGGGTAATTGAAAGGTTATCTTCTTTGAAAGAAACGACTAGGGAGATTAACTTAGCAAGGAGATAAGAGAAGAGAAGACCTATGAATATGGATTGCAAAAGCTGTTGCCAGTCAGCCATGGAATCTACCAAGATATTTTAAAGTAAAAATTAAAAACCCTAACCCTAAAATTTGAGAGTGATTGTACGGGCAAAAGCGTAGGGAAATGAAACACTAGAAATGGATCATCCTATCATCGGAGCTAAACTAAAACCCTATAAATCTTTTGAACATCAAAGAAAATATTTTCCTTTTTCTTTTTTTTCTTTCTTTATATTTTTCTCTTATGTTCCTTTTGGGTTGGGGAATCTGCTTTTAGTAGTTTTAAGAGGGAGAAAATTTGGCGCCGGAGGAACAGTGTGTATCCTATTAATAGCGAGAAGAGAACCATTTCTAGGGTGTAGTGCGCACCCTTGAATTGGATCAGGTGTTTCGCGGACTGCAGTTATTTCTTTTTTGTGTGACAGGTGGCTTTTTGTTAGTCGTTGAATTGGGTGGTACTGGCAAAAAAAACCTCGATCTCTCTTTGTCGTTCATCTCCGGAGAGATGGTATATCACGTGTTTCACACGTGATGCATCAGAACTTTTAGTTCATTGTTGTTGGCCTTTATTATATTCCTTTTATGTTCACCGAATGTGGTTGGCTAATTCTTACAGCCTTTAAATAATCTTTTATTAGAAGCCCTGTGTTACAACTTACTAATATTAATGAATTAATGAGTTTTGACATCACCCACTAAGTTATGTAAATATTATCACGAAATTTTGACATAATTTAATCATAATCAATAAAATCTTCAATCACAATAAATAAATATACAAACTGTTTTAAATATCTATACTGCATTTAAAATTCATAGCAGAATTGATTTATATGTTTGGAATAATTGGTTGAATAGTAAAACAATTTATTGATTGATTTATTTAGTTAATCTTTGATTTACATTAAACTTCACACAATAGTAACAACATATATGTTGGTAATTGTTTAATTATTATTAGTATAATTTATACTTTTACATGTTACTTAATAATCAACCTAAAAATTATAAATAGTTGGAATAAACCACCATTAGGATTTGAACTTAAGTTTTTACATAATAGTAAAATGGATCGTATTTGAATTGGTGTCCCCATGTAACTAGTTCAATCAGCTCAGTGCCAAAAATGAAAAGACTTACTAGTACGGGAATCTATCTCAAAATCTTAAAGCGAAGCCGTCTTATGTTATCTTTGAATATGGTTATGCTATGTGTGACTGTGGGTATGCTACGTTCATAGCCCAATTGAGAAGGGTTGAGGCGTGGAACCGAATCCAGACACACTTTCTATTTCGGTTTCGGCCCAAAGTCAACTCTTTCAATTCTTGAAGAAACCGCAAGCAATGATACTAGATTCTCAGCGAGGAATTGACTGGAGGAGTTTGTTTCAAAAATGTTCTCGGCTGTACGCTAGGGGAGGAAGTTGCAGTCTGGATCTTATATGAAAAGATAATATCAGCTGATGTGTTCTGGTTTTGTAAGCAACTGGCAGTTGGAAGAGGCAAAGGTGAGAAGCCCAAGTAAGGAATCCCTCTTGCTGTCTGTGTCTTGTATTTTTGCTGGTTTTGTTATGTGTTTGGAGATCAGGGTAATAGAGGAGCAGAGCAGGCCTGCTGTAATTTGAATGCTTCTGCTTTATGTTGTGTAGCTCTCAATTAAGGGAGTCTGCTGTTTATTTTGGACATTGTGAAATGGGGAGAGTTTCTGTTGCTGTTGTTCGTTTTGTACCATTCCAGAGATGTGCGTGAGCTGTTTTAAGCTCTTTATTTAATGGAAGTATATATTGTTCGAAAAAAATAATAATAATAGAGAAATATTTATCAAAGGGCTCGGAATTGTACTCCAACAAAATGTCCATTCAAGCATTACATCTTTGAGCTAGTAAAAAATTTGTGTATATATCTGGAATGTAATTCGTGGCGAATACCATCACCATATGAGCATGCGTCTATGCCTAGGCATGTTACATCCCTCCTCCCTGTTCCTGTTTTCTTGTCTGTGAAGGAACTATAAAGACGAGCGAAAACAAAATTGAAACTGATCAAACATTCCTAGTTCTATGCCCCCTGGTCGTCTGATTGCAAAAAGTTGTCCTCTTCATCAGCATCAGTATTGACACTTTCCATAGCCTGCAACATGAAAAGAACGAAAAAGGGATCAGACAAAAGTTTGTCAAAAATGAACTCCAGCAATCAAAAATATGCTACTAGCTAGTAATTAAGAACATGGATGCATCAGAAAGAAAAGGGTGGATAACAGGGCATTAAGAAGAGGTATTCGTGATCTTAATTACTTGGATCAATGTCTGTGATGGCTCCAGTTTGCTCAAACTCACAATCATACTGTTTCCTATCGGTGGATTGATAGTAAGCATTCATGGCAAAAGCTGCATGGGCTCGAACAGTGTTAGGAAGGAAGCAAGCTCCATCTTCTTGAATCGGTCCACAGTCCAAACCCAAACCGCACACATAATCAATGTTTCTTTGTAAAGCATCTTCATCCGCGCCCGTTTTGGGAAGACACCATTGTTTTCCCTCAGACCTCGGAGTTGGATTCACCGGCGCGGCCGTTGGCACTGGGGTTGGGTTGTTAGGAATGGATGATCTAGCCTGCCAAAGACCAACCACAAGAATCGATAAAATTCATTAATCATTATCGGTAAATCAATTTTATCTAATTAATTCACGAAATATATTTTTCACCATGATTATTAATTATTAGAAGGCCGACTGTAATGACTAACAAACATGTAACATGGTGAATATTGGCGGTAGCAGCTACCGTGGGCCTTAGGATCCCAACATCGTAAACGGGTGTCATATCTGGTCGGAAGAGCCCGAAATTCCTCTCACATGTAGGCCCTGGCTTAAGATTTTCATTGAAAAGTGCAAAGATGTAGGTCTCGAAAGTCCGGTTTGGCATTAGGGGTGTGCCAGCACCAGATGTTACGTGCCGCATGAGATTGCCATTGTATTCAGCTGCACTCCCTGCATCAACAGCAACTTGGGTCGAATCCCCCATGGATGGCCAACCGGTTTCGGCTATGACAATCTCAAGATCATCAAATCCTACGAATTTCATCGCTGAAAAGACCGCATCTAATTGAGCATCTAACATGTTTGTGTAATGCAGCTCTGTGTTTTCATCGAACACTCCTGCATTTGGCCGAAACAGGGCATAATCAAGGGTATCAGGTGAGCAGCCAAAAAATGGATACGGGTTCACCATGAAGGGTGAATTGGTATCTCTAAGGAAGCTAAGCAATGGTTTGAGAACATGAATGTCATAGCCTTGTCGAAACTTTCCAGTGGATGGTGGGCTTGAATTTGAGAGAATGCCTAGAGAGTGAGGTGTGGAGACTTGGATTCTACGGTCTAGTGAAGCTTCAACAAGGGCGGTGTGGAGGGTTTGCATAGCTGGAACAAGACTTCCTATTAACAATTTGTTTGCTGTTGATATTACTTCATTGCCTACTAAAATACGGACTATATTCGTGGCTGGTGTGTAAGGTTGGATATTGTCTTCCACCCATTGTTGAGCCAAGTTTAGCTTGGTAAGGTGAGGGATTTGATCATTTGGAACAGTTACTGTGATAGCAATGCCAGTGTGGGCAAAGGCTTTTATAATTTCAGGGTTGGGGTCGAAGAGCCTAACGCGGTTGATGACAGTGGACTCTAAAAGGAAATGCGCCACCTGAGCTGGTGGGGGAAGATTGTTCGCAACGGTGCCATAGTTTACCCCAATTGTCCCTTCGACTCCTAGAAAAAAAAAAAAAAAAGATAACCACACCAATTAATCAGTTATACATCTATGTTGGTACAAAATTTTTGCAAGTGGAATATCATAGTTTTCATACCTCGGACGAGCGTTGATGCCAGAAAAAATAAGATGTCTGTGACCAAAACAGAAGAAAAGACAGAGATGAAATCTTTCGCCATGGCTTTGGTGGGTAAGGGAAGATGCTGAATGATGCACTGGGGGCAAACCATGGCTCAAGAAGTGGAGTGTGAGATGCTTTTCTTTGCGACTGGGGGAAGGTCTGGATGCCGTGGCATGAACCATGTTTGCAAGAACTTTATCATTTGCGCCTGCTTTAGATGTAACTTTGGATTATACCTTTTCCTTCGATTCCGTTTCATCATTCTCCCTTTTTCTTTGCAACGGGATTTTTGTTCTTGTAACCAAGTATGGACCAATCTTGACAACGCGAACCGGGCTTTGTGTAGTCAATCAGCTTGGGATATTGAAGTGAAAGTGTCATCGAGACAACTAACGAAACTTGTCAGATCTTACTTTAATCCACGGCAGGGGAATAATCTTTTCTTCCATGCTGGTGAAGGTATCAGCTCTCTTGAGTTCCTTATTAGCTTAAACAATACAATATTCTTCAGCTCCTAATATAACCAGTGAGAATCCTATCAACTCTCACAACGCAGTATAAGAGAGCCTAACATTCACTTCTGTTACTTATCTGACCTTTTTTCACTGAATTAAGCTCTTGCTTGTGGCCTGTGTTTGCGAATCAAAACTACACTAGCAGAGCTTTAGGTGTCTATAGATTTGATTGTACCAAATAAAATTTTGAATAAAAACACAGTCGGAGAAGTCGCATATATCAGCAATGAAAATGAAAAAAATGTAACTAAAAAATTTAAATATTTCCATTGAAGAGGAATGGAAAATACTGTTGAGAAAAAACAATGAAATCCAGCTCTAGATTCATCGTATAGTCAATTATTACTGAAAGTTTTCCCGACTAGTACCTTTTCAACATTTCACAGCTCACCCAGTCACTTTTTTAATTGATTGGGCAAGCCTTATTCTTATCCTTTTCCTTCGCATTAATTTCTTGGCATTTGTCAACATCGCAATGTCCAAATGCATTTGAAACCACTCATGTTACCACTTATCTAGAGCTACTCGATAAAAGACATTTTGATTATTAATTGCAATAGTAAAAGCCAATTAAACTCTCCCAACAAGTTTGATTACTGTTATTTGATAAATGATAATCTGTATTACATGATATTTGATTCAATAATAATTTATATATTTTCTTTTTATATTTAAAGAACGGATTTGAATCCTTCCTCTTTAAAATGGAAATAAATGATAATTGATTAAATAAACAATGATATAATCATTATATGCAGAGAAAAAATCCTCTTGAGAAACAAGGTAAGATTTGTCCACAAAAAAGGGAAAAAAGGGCAAAAGAAATTAACAAACAACATGGTTAGCATCAAGCATGTAAGTGTTACTCACTTCAGTTTTTTGTTCCTTCCTTGGTGAGATGCTAATAAGCATTAAGTCTCCAATCAAGATACATGAAGCCTAAACCAGCCAGGCTACCAGAGAGCAAGCTCCGAAGATTCACCACATAGTAACGATGTTATCCGTTCTGAGGCAAAAAGTTTGCAGTAAGACTTATCAGATACTAATAAAGTTTTGTGTGTACACGCAATGTGCTTTATTTGTTTATCTGCATTTTGATGGCAAGAACCAGACACTAAAGATCAGTTGCATCTAAAATTTGGCTACCCTGGAAAGTGGGAGAGTTTACCTTACATAGGTACTTACCTACGCTTTTAATATGAGGTGCAAAGGAAAGCAAGAACAGCCTGGTAGAGGAACTTCCACTTTTAACATTGCTTGTTCAAATGAGCATCTCAGAAACAGAAGCATTATCAGCCAAACTTACAGTAAACAGAGACTATATTTATAGACTATACTCTATATTTTGGACTGATATACATGCAAATGCAACTGTGATTGGAATACTCATTTGAGCAAGAAACATTACAAAGAGGAATTAAGGTAGTTTCTCTTCTCTCTCTCTCTCTCTCTAGACCTTTCTCTGATTTGAATCATCCAACGCTGATGACCCCTAGAATCTAAGGTCCATTGCTATAAATAGAAGGTCCCAGTATGAGGAGAAAAAAAACCAGTACAGATTGCTGAATTACCAGAATGCCACTGCCGCAAAGAGGCATGGTAAACAGAGAAGAAAAAAACTGCTTGTTAGTTGTTTGTGATTTAAGCCTGTTTAATTTTCGAAGGACAGTTTGGGAAACTGACTGATTAGGTGCCATGCAAATGACAGGCCTGGTATATATCAGACGGTGCAGAAAATAGTTGGAGATTTGACAGTCAGTTTAAAGAGTCTAAATGAAAAGGAATTGTAGTTGCTGAAAGAATGGCAGCTCAAGATTATCAATCCCAACAACCCAACCACCATCAGTCAAGTAGGAGGAAAAAAAAAAACAACCACCTATGGTGAGAAATCTTTTATCATTTCAGAATCATTACCTGCATGCCTTCTTTAACAAATAGTAAATTCTTTCTCATCAAAGCTACTATTCCCACCAATATTTCCTTTAGAAATTTTGTCTGGTCCATTGTTTGCTCTATTACAAATATTGTTTCATGTGAGGTCAGCATCCACTGGAGAAAGATATCAAGTCTGCTGCATTCTCAGCAATTTTAATCTAGTGAAGCTGTGATTCAATTCGGCATCATGTGTCTCCTTTGTCTTCCCACTTTGCAAGCAAATAAGATGGTACAGTGCATACAGAATTGCTATCGGCTTTTGTGCCAGTTTGACCTTAGGCTTGATTCAAAGTGATCGAAGTGAGAATGGAGGTTGGAAACCTGTCCGTTGTAGGGAAATGTAATTTGATTTTATCAAGTATTTGTAGGCACTTGTCAACGACAGACTCTACTATATTACCATTGTGATGAATAAGGTCCCCCCAGTCGCATCAGAAAAACTAAAGAGAGGTGGTCATATAGCTTCTAGTGTACAATTTCAATATGGGGTTGGTAAGTCTAATAAAGGAGTATAGTAGGCATATGAAAGGTACAACAGTAAGTTCATGGGATGTGGGCGCGTTTGCACCTACCTTTTTTAAGAAGTTGCCCCATCCTCATTAACTCTGTCTTTAACATTTTGGTACTCCTGCAAGATGGGAATCATCTAAAGAAGCCATACCTCCCAAATCTGCCTTTTGGGGTCGGTAATGCGATATATAGCAAAAGTATAATTTCTATTTGAGCTGCTGTCACATCAATTAGAACTCAAGTGAATCACTTGAAGTGATGCCCCAACGTTACTGAGTTCAAACATAATGGAGAACATGCAATTTTAATTATTATCTCTGATTAAATCTTATAGATACAAAATTGAATCAACATTTTGATGGAAAAATGATGGCAGTAGTTATAAATAAAAACATGGCCTACCTCTTTAAAACATTACAGCAACATCCATTCTAACAGGAAAGCAATAACCATTAAATTTCCAAAATGTAGGCCACGGGTTTTTAATGCAATGTGCAATTATCCATCCTATATTGCTCATTTGATTATAATTAAAAAATTTATCATAAAAGTAATAATATAATATATATAATTTTATATCTATAATAATAAAAAAAATTAAAAATTAAAAAATGACAACTATCATCACCCCTTTAACTTTATCGCTACTGACAAAGATTTCGATAAAGGTACGAATTCAGGAGAAAACAAGTCACGGTACCCACTTCTTTATTTTCACCAAAAGAAATTCTAGAATAATCAGAAGGATGGTAACATTTTTAACAAACAGACATCGATGTTAACAAATTTTTGTGTATTGCACGCGTAACTTAATATTATAAAAGGAATAGAAATAGGGATAGGGAAGTCATTTTCATTTCAAATAAAAACAAGATGTCTACCTCTTTAAAATATACAGCAAGATCCTTTCTAAAATTTAGGTCTCTCCCGTCTACCATTTTCCTTAGTTAATACTAAGTAAGAATCATTAAATTTCCTAAATGTAGGCCACTGTATTTAGTGGGCCATGGAAAATGAAATGTAGAATTATCCACACATTCATCATTACTTCACGGCCAGACCAATCAGTTGCAGGTCGGCCGAACTGTGGTTACTCTTTACCCACCGTTATTATCATCGTCAGTTACCCCGGCCCTGTAAAACACAATATTGCTTGGACTATTGAAAATGGGAAATGCGCATCCGGGGAATCGAACCCCGGTCAGTACCGTGGGAGGGTACTATGATACCACTACACCAGATGCGCTTGAACACTATTCGCTGAGCAAATGCTTATTAAAATAAGAGTACCCTAAATATGCTTGTTCCCTCCAAATCTTCCGCCGGTAAACTCTTCTTTCTACGTAAAGTAACTTTGTCAAGCAATACTTACAGATACTAACTCTTATGTTTCAAATCAAAAGGTCGACAATCCTTTCCAAGGATCAGTGTTGATTCAATAATTATATATCTTTTTGTACAAATTGTGGCTCATGATCAATGAAAAAAACAAATATATATAAAATCGTGAAGATTTATCATTTAAAAATTTCTTTTATGCATGATTCACTTCATTATCAACTTTTAATAAAATTATTAATGTAAAACCATTAATTTTTGAATTGACCCTTGGTTGGATGATCAATCTCTTTCATAAGGTTTTTAAGAATTTTGCTCTTGCTATTAATAAAATAGGAGTAGTCGCTGACTTTGATCCATGAGAAAAGAATTATTGGAGGTGGAACATTTAGCTAAGGCATAATCCATTTAATTGGAAACTTGGTCAGTGAAGCATTTTCTTGGATGTCATCAAATCAATCCAAACCCATCATTTTGTCCCAACAAAGCTACTTGGAAGAAATCAACTAGTGGTACATATATGTCTTCATCTTTTTTCAACCATTGCCAGTCGAACGTTTGGGCTTTCCAACCATGTTGGAGGCAGTTTTGGAAAGGATTTGTCCTCCCAAAAGTTGAAGTCTTCACATGGCAAGTTTTTTTTGGAAAAGCCGCTGTCAAGCACAAACTCTTCAAAAGGGGTTTGCTTAATGTTAATGCTTCTCTTTGCACTCTATGTAATGTTAAACTTGAGACCTCTTCTCATCTTTTCTTCACTTACTCGGTTGCTTGAAACATTTGGATGAACAATTGCAGTCTTTGGGGCTTAGTTGGGTTCACCTGAGTGATGCCACTAGGGCCGACCTTTGGATGAAGCCATCCAAGTAAAGGCTTTAGACTCCAATTTGGAGAGGTCTTATAATTTTATAATATAATTAATTATATTAAAAATATATAAAAATTAATAAAATAATTAATAAAATTATCTATTTTCTCTTTTCCTTAATTATATGCTTAATAAATTTTAATTTTCTATCACTTTCTAATTTCTAAAATGCTATATTATTTTCAATCAACTAACAGTCATATGTATTTAATCATCTCCAATAGCTATTTTTTTTTCATTTATTTCTCCTATTTCCAATTAATATATTTAATGATTTTTAACAACTTTTTTTCCTATATATAAAACTAATTATTTCTTTTTCAATGTATAATATTTACTTTTGAATTTTTCTTTCCTCATTTGCTCTTTCTTCCTTTTTCCTTTAATTTTTCTCCAAAAAATACATAAGAAATTTATTATGTTATTATCTTCATAAAACTGTTAGCCTCATTTGAGATTTGTCAACAATTAGGTACTATTATTTTAATATTTATAAACTTTTTTACTTTAATTTAAAATTTATATTATATTATTATATTTCTTTTATTTTAATTGATAGTTGATTTATTTGCGTTAAAAATTTTAATTATTGATTTTGTATTAACCATTTAAAATATATAAAAAATTTGCATATCAAAAAGTTAGAAGAATAAAATTTTAATAATTTTGTTAATTTCAATAAAAATTGCCTCATTGAATATTTCACTTTAGATCTTTGAACTTATTGAGTAGTCCCTGGATGCCACTAGCTTCTTTATTTCTTGGCAGAACAATAAACCACCTTATAATTCTCTTGAAATATGACACATGCTCTTCTTCTCTACCTTATGGTCAATATAGCTTTGCAGAAACGAAACCCTTTTCCAAAGTAAACACCTTGATGTGAATCAGCTGCAAGAAATTATCTTTGTTAGATTTGGCCATTGGTGCAAGGGCAAGTGGCCACTCAACCGCATTCCAACATTTCACTTCCTTTTCGAACCTAATCGAATCAGTATCAATATTAGGAAATGCAAAAAAAAAGTCACTTCTGAATGGATTAGACTATAATCAGGTCCCTTCAAATTGAATATTAATGGCTCTACCCTTGGGAAACTAAGGCCTGCAGGTATTGGGGTGCCATTACAGATTACAATGGTTTCATTAAAGAGGTTTTGTCTTCTCCATTGGAATCAAAGGCTCCAACTACGCTAAGTTTCTTGCTATCAAAGAGGACCTTTTTATCTTCTTTTCTTCACCGTGGGCCTCCAACACTCTCAATATTGAATGTGATTCCAAAAATGTCAATCACGTTGGCATCTGATCACAACTCTGTTCCGTGGCACATGAAGGATTTATTCAGCTGTATTGAAGCATTCAAAACAAGCTCCAAAAATCTTACTTTCAGTCACATTAATAGAGTGACAAACACTTTGACTGACGAGGCTTACAAAAGCTAAGACTATCAGGCTCAATCGTTTTTCAACTTTGTTCTAATCCTTTAAGCTGTCTTGGATAACGAGGGTGCTGAATCTACCTTGTTTGTTTACTTAGTTGAGTTTGTGAATTTCTGGGTATTGTCTAGTTGAAATTTTTTTCCTTTCTATTGTTGTGACTTTCCTTTAAGTCTATCTGTTTAGAACTGTCTCTGGCAGTTTATCTTTGTATTGCCTGATCTGGCTTCGCTTATTAATGATCAGTTGCCATTCAAAAAAAAAAATTGCAGCCTGCGGTAGCTAAACAAGACAGAAAGAAACATGAGAAAAGAGAATAAGCTGCAGTCATCGACAACCCAACTCAGCTCTTCCATCAGCACTGATACTTTTATTTGTACATAGCTTCTGAAGATCAATGTAACCTATGATGGTATCTTCGAAAACTGCATCTTCAAGCTGAGCATTATTAAAAGTAGAACCAGATAATACGGAGTTCTTAAACACAGCTCCTCGGAGATCAGCATTGTCAAAATTAACTCGATCCAAAACAGCATTCGAGAAGTTTGCACCTGCAAATAATTTGGTTACTGCTCTTCTATATAAACCCATGCCATGATCTTCAACATTTATGCTAAGACTAGCAAATGAAAGTTTTTTCACATATTGCTAAGTCCTCATCTTTTATCAATGAGTCTTATGAAGAAAAGCACTACCATTTAGTTCTTTAAAAAAAGCGCAGTTGTTTTGATAGATTTGTCATTTACAAGTAATTTTGAAGAACTCAATAGAACTCAAGGAAGCCATTGAGGTAAGGATTTTGAGACATGCATATGTATGAGTGAAAAGCAACAAAATGAGTTTAAAAACTTCCCTCTTCATCGTTCTTATTCTTCCAGGAGTCCAGCATATACAGAATTATGGACGGTGGCATTCTAGGTTCAAAACAACTATACATAATTCAGATGTTTCCTCACATTTAAATGTTATTTAATCAATGTCATCTTCCTTATCATGACCACATCTTGGAGATATGTTGTAGTCATAGCAATCAAAATAGATGCATTTTATTTTTGCATTTTTCTTGTCAAATAGTGGTTCTCAACACATAATAGTTTTCTCAAGGACTTCAATTATTTTGTGTTGCAATCGCAGGATGTGCTCAAAATGATGATAGAAAGCATTAAACAATCATTCTTTACTTAAGGCCTACAATCAAATGCAGTTAACCAAATAATTGTGCCAAAGTTGGTCAAACGGATAATTTGCACGATAGTCTTCTAAGAAATATTAGCATAGGTCGAACAGTTTGATCTTTAGTGAGGTGGATGGTTTCAGAGAAGGCAACAGAAAGAAAATACAGAAGATTACCCTTGAAGCTAGCTCCAACAGCATAAGCCTTTGACATCACAGCTTCTGACATGTCCGCACCATCGAACTTAGCATCTGACATGAGTGCTGCTGCAAGAGACTTTCCCTTCAGGTTGGATTTTTCGTTAGCGTAATCACAGAAGCGCAGATCAAGGGGCTTATCATATACACCATTTGCCTGACCTATTGTATTACCAACAAATGCACGCTCACATCGGTTGGGCTCTGTTGACAGTGGAGGCAACCTCTGCATAGCAAACATATTGTAGTTTTGTAGCCTTTGGTTATCTTTAAATTAGTAATTATTATGACCAACGACATTGTTGTTTGGAATCACCAGAGGATATGGGAACAGTTATTCCCCACAGGCACTCTTACCAAGCAAATCAGTTTGTTTATACAGGATACAGGACTTCCGGCAACTTAGATGACAGTTGATAGTAATAATTAATTAGGCAAGTTTTCCTATAAAATTCTTTTTTTTTTCTTTCTGGCCAAGATAGGAAAGCTATGCACGTATCAAGTAGGTCAGCTGATCAACAAACGGTTAACTAGAGTGAGAGCTTTGCTCTCGCATGAAAACATAAACACAAGAAATAGACAGGTAAGGCAACTTGAAGTTTCAAATAACAATTAATTGCAAGAAGGCTAATTGCCATGCATCTAAATTTAGAAAGACTACCACAACCACTAAAAGTGAAACTAATGGAAGCAATCAAGAGTCCCTAATTTGTGATGAATTGCTAAGGTTTACAAGGAACTGTGTCCAACAATTTAGTGTGTCCTATGCAATTCTTAAACTACGAGCTGTAAACCTAAGCCAAACAAGTCATAGGCAAATATGCTTAAACAGACACAGAAAAATAGTGCAGGTATTCAACCTGATTTGCTGCAATTACAGGTGAGGCAGTAGCAACAGCGCATACGGCTAGAAGGCCACAAGCTACGCTCCTCAGTTCCTTAAATGTTGATGAGCTTTCCTCGGTCTTGGAAACACATTTACTAGCTGCTTCCATGATAGAAAACGTCAAAAAAAATAAAAAAAAAAATCTTCAGGAACTAAAAAAAGTATATTAGCTAACAAGGCTGCCCATTAAATTTCAGACAATAACTCAAATCACAAACTTGACTGTCACCGCAGACATCACCAACAATTGAGATTATCCCCACAATGGGTATTCCCTTTTTGTTTTCTGTTTTTACTACCGTTACTTCCCTAGCTTGATCCATTATTCCGACAGTGAAAAAGAGGAAAATAATGAAGAAAAAAAAACTAGTACAGAATTCGGAAGGTTTTAAGAAAACACAAGGCATACCAGAAGAACAGTTGATTCTGATAGGTAGAGGGAGTTGATGAAGAGGACAATGGAGGCGTTTCGTCGATAACTGTCGTAAGGATAAAGTGTTATGGGAGAGTGGAGTTGAAAGGGTCGCCATTTCTGTGTTGTATGCTTGCTCTTTCTCTTTCTCTTTTATCTCCCTATCATTTCAAGTCCATTGCGAGTTTATCCATTGATGATGGTTCTAGCTGCAGCAGGTACATACATCTATCTGACCTGGCATGACACGTTAGATTATGCCCTTGGCAGATATTTGCAGTCAAATTAACTGTTAGCCTAGCTACCATAATGGACCAAGCAGGCCTGCCAAGCCCACAAGCCTGACACATATTGGACCGAGCTTGGGTTGTTGTTTTCAATCCTATAGAAGCCCGACCAGAATTAGTTAGGATTAGGGGGTTGTTTGCCAAAAAACCAACCTTAATTAAAAAGTAAGAGGCAAAAATATGAAAAGCAGATAAAGCGTACGAGATAAATTCGTCTGGTTTATCTTTGACCATCCGCTTCCTCCTCAAGCTTAACTTAGGGCTTTTGAATTTCAAGACCAAGAAAGATAATAATAAAGAAAAAGCAAACACACACTCAACGCAGAAATCAATCGGATTATACTTCTGCAAGGAAACAACAAAAAAATGGAAAATCAGGGCAGCTGCTTGTCTTACATGGCGGCGTGGTTGGGAACGAGCGTGGCCCAAGCCTTCTTCGCGTCGCTGGAACGTTGTTCTTGCATAAACCTCTCTACCTCCGATGATGCTGATGATTCCGAGGCCCACGATCGCCCTCTCATGTTCACCAATTGCTCCTCCATCTCCTCATCTGTTATCTCTAGGACCGACAACCTTCCTCCCAACGACGTCGTTAATCTCCCCGTCTAAATCTTGCAAGCCCTTTCTATTTGGGAATTGTATGTAGGGTTTCGTTTCGTTTCTCTTTTGCTGTGAATCTTGATATGAGAGTCGGCTTTTTTTTTTTATTATTATTATTCTTTTGTGGTGTTTTGTCTTTGTTCAAATGTTTCCTTATCTTTGGGTGTTTGTGAAATTTCCAAAGCGATCTCGTTTATTGAATGAAGATCTTCCTTTAATTTCTTCGAAATCATTCGTCGGATGAATTTGAATCTCTGAAATGTTATGTTGTTTTCTCTGGGATTTTTTAAATTTTGCGATTTAATCAAAGAATCAATAGCTAATATTGATGATTCATGGTGAAATGTTATGGTTCTTTGACAATTGCATCTGGGTTTAAGTCAAGTTGTTTTAGCAGCAATCAACATTTAGCTTCTCCCTTGATTTCATTCGGCTCCATATCTGTGTCCGATGCGACATAGTCAACAATTTCTCTCCCAATTAAACGAAGGAACATGCCTCACGATTTGGGAATAATCATGATTGCTAATTTGAAACAATGGGTACTACCCAACAACCAACAAACAATGCAAACCGAAATTTAATTTAGTAGGGCCCTGAAAAACTTAGCAAACCCGAAATTTTAATCCTTATTCACCTAAAAATGCATGGAGATTCTTGTTTTCCTAACTCTATAAGATTAGACATGTCGTAAAGGAAGGCATTAATCTAGAATTCTTGTTCTTTAAGATAATTGATCATTTGAATTGAAACTATGCTGTTGTGAAAGGGAAACAGATGAATCAGATTGGAAAATTTTACCTAAAAAACATGGGTTTTTTCATCTATGAGGTATTTGATGCATTAAAATTCAATAGCCCTCACTAGTATGTCAAAATCTTACCATAATTGTGGAGTTGAGGAAATTGATTGCAGGCTGTTTTCTTGTTATAGACGTTCTCCAATCTCCATGATTCATGGTTTTCAGCATCAATTGCCTCAAGCACTGAGGGATATATGATCACCTCAAAGAAAAGTGAATTCCATGTAATTATTTAGAGTCTGAGATGTTCTACCCGCTAATGTTTCCTCTTTCTTTCTCTCATGACCTTTTTTTATCCAAACTTGTTTTTCTCCTTTGGTTCTCTTTAAACAATAGTTTCTTCATTGGAAATAATGGCATCCAACCACCCCTCATATTCTTCAAGGGACATTGTAGCCTGCTGTTCAAGTAAGTGAAATCCCCCTAAGTAGCTTGTTTTGAGAAAAATGCCTCGTTAGTCCTTAGCACCAAAACGAAAAAGACATAGCCATTGGAAGCCCTTTGGGCCTACGACCTGATCATGACCAAAGCCTTCTGCTCCTTTTGGGCATTTGATTTATGCTCTGGGTGGAGATGGCACTGATCAGCTGACCGAATGCCTTTGATGTGGGCTAGGGATTATTAAATATGGGCTCATAGGAAGAATGGCATATTTGTATTTGTCACCTAAACATCTCACTGTGGTTGCCTTAAGGTTAAAAGCGAAGGGGAAATAGGACAGGTAAACTTGGTGAAAACTTGCCTTTCGCCCTCTAATAAAAAAGTCCTTTCAGATCGTTTTAAAATGAAAAAGAAGAAAACAAGAAGCAGTACAAGAAAGCATTTGGAATAGCCGATTGGATAGGCTAATGGCCTAATGTTGGTAACCTACCAGTATTAGGTGTTTAAAGGAAATAAAGGGGAAAAAAGAACAGAAGACAGCATGATTAAAAGAAAATCATTGCTTAAAAGATCGATTAAAGGGTATAACCAAAGAGATATCACATGTCTTTTTGTCGGGAGCTTTTGTCTGTATCTAGCACTAGCATAGTTGTCTGAATCAAAAATTAAGAAATGTATTACTCAGTCTCTTGTTCTGTCTCATGTGATTCATCTTCTAATATTTAATACAATGTATTAATGTTGATAACGGATTGGATTGTCTTATAATACTGCTGGCCTAGCAAAACAGAAGGGCAAAAGATGTACATTGTCCTCTAATAATCATACAGTCCAACAAATTAAGAAATTAAGAACACTAAGTAACCTGTCTTTTCGTAGATTGCTAGATATCAAAGCCAACACGAAAGGGTATTAATTTAGGCTAACAGCTAAGACTAACACAGTTGCCTTTGGCCCTCAACAACGAATCATGCTTGCACTTTCTGGTCCCCTAATTACGGTACCTTGATACGTGTTAATATCAGTTAATTTTGTCATAGTTCGCTAATCATCCTCTTTTGTCCTTTAACTTTTTCATGGATTGGATTTTCCTGAATGTGGCATCAGCAAGCATTTGGTGATATAGTTGGTTTAACTTTTATCTGGCAACTATGCCTTGTTCCCCAAGGTGATGTTTCATCATGAGAAGAGCTAATGTTTCCACTTTGAAATTAGTGGTTTCATTTATTGTTACTCTCGACATTGATCCCAAATCTTGTAAATTGTCTTCGGCCTTGGATTCTTGTCCTGTCAGTGTTTTTACCATCAAGGCATCAACAACTTTTGTGACAAAAATTGCTTTATCATCTTTAGTAAACCTGTTTCACTGAGCTTCTTTTACCAACAACTACGGACGTTCCTGTATCTTTTATCAACAATAAGAAACCAACTGTTAAAAGTTTTACCGGGTAAGTGCAAAAACAGGAAAATGAAAATCGTCCATGGAAAAGGTTTAGGTTATATTTTGATGTTTGGAAGATTGTTGACCATATAATCTGAAAATCAGTAATGGAAGGCAGTGCCATTTAAAGCATATGATAACATGAAAATGCTGGCACCACAAAGGCTTCTTGCTTCTTTGTAGAATGAATGCCACAGCATAAATACTGATCACAAAAGCTTCTTGCTTCTTTGTACAATGAATGCCACAGCATATATTCTGATTTACATGGGAGGAAAACCGACCCAATAATGTTTGAATTTATTTACAACAGTAGATTAGAATTACATTTGAGCTAAACTCAAGCCATTTGTGATGGAGTCTAGCATTTTCAAAAGAAAAAAGGGTCAAGTAACTCTATCGGATGTTAGTATAGATATCAAATCAGTGCAGCTATGAAACGTGTTCGAAACTGAAAAAGGATCATTGGCAACGAAGCATGAATAGGGTTAGCTGATAGTCAACTGCAGCCATTAGGGTAACAAACAGGCCATGAAAGGAATGGCCTGGAATTGTGCTCTGCAAACAAACAAAAACGGTATGCATTCAAGCACTAGAGTCAGCAGGGAAGCCCATTCAGTGAAAAACAAGACCTGGAAAATTACACCTCCACGACCAGTTTTGAATGGCCCTACCATGAGGCAGACCCAAAATGGCAGACAAACAATTCAATCATGCAAAGCGGCCAACATATGATAATGGTGAAGTTCCCCACCATTTTTTTCCCCTGAATGAACTGCAACCACCACTCTGGATTCCTACTCCTATTTAAGAGAACAAAAGAAAGAGGTTGTTCTACAAGGCCCCACAGGCCACAGGCACCTCTTTCTATCATACAAGTAATATCTCAATTGCCGTTGCCTAGCACATGACTTGTATAATCTTTTCGGGCAGACAAGAATTTCTCGAGCAACAAATCAACCAATCATAAATTTAACCAGGGTATTCAGATAGCTAACCTAGGCCACTTGCTCCTCCCAAAAGGGATTTCAGTGCAACCATAGAACAGCTGCCACTTGTTGTGACCAAATTCAGTTGCAGACCACCTCTGAAAATCTTGGATGGGCCCTCAGAAAACCTCAGATTCTCAACCATTTATCTGAGTTGTGCACGCCTATCAACCATTCAGCCCTGAACATGCCATGGCAGTTGACGCTGTCAATCTTGTCAATCTCAATATCACTTGTCCGCCAATTCAAGCTCAACAAGGTATCTGCAGTAGCAAGTCAATCAATGTAGGCACCAAATATATCAACTGTACCATTGGACATATCTTAATTCTCTGATTCCTTCAGTAAGCCACCAGTGTTTCAAACGGGGGCTGGTAAACCATAATTGAGGAAGGATCTAATTCTTCCATCTGACCCTGCTGTCACTATAACAAGACCCCATGCATGAGAACTAAATGTACTCTGGCATGAGGTTTTTAGAAACTTGTACTGGGACTTATGCATTGACGATGACACAGACATTGGACTGGATGAAGGAAGTGTTTCCTCCGGCCAAGTCGCAGATCCCTTGGGAAAAGACTCCAAAATGTATTCATTGCTCAGAGAGAAATAAGAAGGTGAAGAAAATGGCAGGTTTTCTGGTAAATTATCATTCAATACTTCAAACTGCCTCCCATTTTCTGAGTTTCCATATTTCAGGCCACTCCAAGGTATTGCAATAGATGCATTG